CAGATGTATCACAACCACTCTCATACATTAAATCTCCTCAATGCGGTTGCCCGAATCAAATATATGTAACTAGATTTTAGAAGATTCATATTCTTCACTAAACCAGAACTCTGCAAACATATGAATCACGTGATCTTCAATATTCACTCATCATATATCTTACAAGCTATGTGTTTTTTAAATGATTTATCTCAATGTGCTTTTTATAAATAATAATGATAAATTCAACCTATATAAATCAACTAACCTGGAAACTGGGAGTCACTTCTAATTCTTCATATACTTATTTCAACCTTGTAGTATCACACGCTAGACTACCATTCATTGAAACAAAGTCACTACATTTTAATTCTTGGATACTTAGAATATAATTTCATTTCATTAAACAAAGGATTTATCTTATAATGGTCTACTTTCAGTCCAAACTTATAAACAATGATGTTAAATGAACTTAATGCAAAGTACTTGAACTAATTTATCCTAAAAATGAAATATGTATAAAAAATTTATTATAAATACTTGTTGAAATTTTGATACACAATTTTAAAAATACCTTAAATATAAATAGTTTTCCTCTCCAACACATGTCTTTAATCATATTTCTTAATATTCCATATAAAATTTCTTATTGATTATTTTTATTTTTTAAAACTAAGAACTCATACATATATGCTTCCTGATTTGAAAAATGTTAAAAGTAATTTTTTAACATAAATCTAGCAATATTTACTTCCCAAAAAGAACTCATGATCTCTATTGTTTAAAGATGTATTCATAATACTGATGTTGATTTTGTTCAGATTTCTGTTTTTTAAAAATTATAACTTCTTTTCAGAAACATATTCAACTTTTCAAATTTATTTTGAATTTATGAATTAAAATTGATTTTTTTTTGAAATAAATTTTTATTGCTCAAATCAACTTAACTTTGAAAAAGTTGAATTATCTATTTTATCAAATATAAAGAATTAAATCATTCTTGCAAATGATTGCATTTTGAATTATAATTAAGTAAACAATAGAATTTCAATACAATACATTCAATTCACCTTTTATATAAAATATATAATCTATACTGAATATGATTATATTTTAACTCTTATATATATATATATATATATATAAACCTCCCAATAGTGACATACATTATTTCTAGAGTGATATCTTACCTCGCACACGAGGTAAGATATCATTTAGCGTATCATATTGAAGCATTCTTATTGCACGTTTAGTGAATCCGCTAAATATTTAGCGGCTCATTAGACGGATAATATCGTTCTTGACTACTTGTCTCGGAACTCAAATTTCAAATTGTTGTTAGTAAGCATAACCTCAGGTCGCCAAGGTAAACTAGAGTTATAAATTGTGGAAAGTGAGCATGCAGTTTTGAGATCTCCAAGATAAATCAGAATTATAAATGGTGAATTGTGAGCAAGTAGAGCTAAGGAAATTTGAAGACCGATTTGTGTCTTCTCTCACTTGTAAAATGGTCGAAACAACAAAATGAAAGTAACGTACCACGAATAAAAATGGACGAGTTGTATGGCGGTTTTACTTGAACAACTAAATTTAATAAATTGAGGTTACAGAACCATCAGTTTTAATTTTTTCTCGCGTTTTTTTTAATTAAGTTGTGGGAGAGCATAGACATGACGGACAAGCAATTGCAAGGAAAGCTTGCGGCAGCAAGGGGGAGTCAAGGTATGGTATGTGGTGTGGTTTCACACCATGTTAGCAGCAAGCAGGAGGCGAATTAAAAGGTTGGGACTTCGATTGAAGTAAGAGCAATAAAGAATGAAATTCAAATATTTTTTACAATAACAATTACAAGAACCGTCACTATTAAACAATATCATGTCACTATTGTCAATAATGACAGCAACTTTCTTATTGGATACAATTACAAGTTAAAACATAATGGTTCTTGAGTTCTATCACTATTGGAAGAATGTCACTAATAAGAGCTGACACTATTTGGAGGTTCAATTCTGTACATATATTTGAAATAATAAGCTAAATTCTTATACTCTCCGATAATTTGAATCAAATGATTCATTTAAAATTAAATTATAAATGTATGTACAAGTAAAGTAAACTAGTAGTTCAGTATAAATTCTTTGAATTTTTTGAATATCTTTTAATATCTGCATGTTAATTTTGCAATAAATTTTCATATTGAAGATCAATCTTTAAAGTATTAACATTTTTGAATAGTATATAAAAAAATAATTTTAGAAAACTAAATCTTAAATAATTGAAAATCAAAAGTCTGTTATGTTTTTTTATACTTTCAAAATTTTTTTGTTGAATTCATAATATTTACTTACTTAAAATTCTACTTGTGTTAATCATTACTTTGACATTATAGTAGTATACATGAAAAAAAAAAGAATTGAAATTGAATGCATTGAACTCATCATAATATGATCAGAATAAATTGATTAATAAAATGAAATGATATATTTTTTATACATCTATGCATGTATGTATATATACATAAAAACATAAGGGTATAAATATATATAACATATGTAAGAAAACTCTATTGTCAGTTAAATTAAATCTAAAAATGAATATAATTGAATTTCAAAAATTAATTCTAAGTTTTATAATGATATTAATATTAATAATATATTTAAGTATTGTATGTATAAAAAATCTCTATAATAAAATTTTAGACGATATGATCATTTTCTAAAAGTAATTTATTTTGAGTTTGAAAAATCATTATCCAAATTTGTAATTATCATGGATGGAAGATTGAATAATACTTTATATTGGAGTTTTTATTGTTAAATACGATTCATTTCTTTCATAAAAGTTAGAGCAATAAAGAATCGGTGTACATTTAATTTATCCATTTATTAATTTATGTACATTGACATTTATAAATATGTTTCAAGTTATGCAAATTTAGACTCTATAATCTATGTTCACTATCATATAATGAGAATTTTGTATCTAATTTTATATTCGAATTGTAATACAATATTTAAATTAAAATACCATTTTTTGTGAAATTTAACACACCACGTGATAGACATAAATTTTTTTAATTTTTTTAAAAATAATATAAACTTATAAACATTTCAATATACAAAAAATTGTAATATTCAATTGAGAATAAAATAAATAAGAATAAATGTAAGATTAATTCGCAACTTATTGGACTTAGTTAGTCTAATCATCATTAAACTTGGATCAAAGTTAGGGTTAGGTATACTTTGCCCTAGGATGAGCACATTTCATTTTAGTTTTACATGTGTAGCAGAGGGTTTGGCTATGAAGTCCTAATGCGTCATTCACGCTTTAGTAAGGTCTATATCTCAACCGTATTTGAAGAACAAAGTTGAGAGCCTACAATAAATAAAAATTTGTTAAATAATTTGCAATGTTTTATTTTTCATCTATTATATAAATTATAAGTAATATAGATTTTTGAAATTAAAATGAACAAAAAATATTTGTAAACTGTTTAATTAAATATACTTATGCCATAAAATTATTTTGAGTTCTAAAGTTGAGGCTTGAGGCTTATACAAAAATAAAAAATATGAAAATCTCATTGCTTGATACAATAGAAAATGTATGTTTTTTGTTGTATTTAATAGTTTTTATTTAAAAATCTATGCAAATTTTTATTTTACGAAAGAAAATAAAACAATTGATCACTTTGAGTATGAATAAAAATTTCATCATTAGAAAAATTATGTTCAAATTTGCATGAACTTAACTTGCCATAGAATCTTAATCACAATAATATTTGATATGTAAAAAGTTTGTGAAAAATTTGTGATGTAAATATAACTTTTTTGCTTTTTTACTCTTTTGTTGTTCATATGTAGTGATTGTATACCTTCAATAACATCACATCGCTTAGTATTAATTATGACTTGAACATATTGAATAATATTTTTTGTATTGCAAATTGAATCACTTAAGTGTTTTCATTTTCAACATATTACTCAATAATAACTCAATTTTTTGATGAAATCAGCCCAAAACAAATCAGTTTCAATGTTTAGCAAAATAGAATGTTTAGCAAATCAAATTTATAATTCATACTCTCAAAATCATCTTCCAAAATAATACATGATAGCTGTTATAAATTACAAATTCTTCCATTCATGTTACATCCAACTAACTCTCACACATGTAAAAATGTCTCTAGCCATATCATTCGCCAAATATGTGTTGACATTTTGACTAATCAAAGCATCAATCATAAACATTGGGACAAGAACAAATCAAGAGGATGATTGTCTCATATTCAAACATGCACCACCAGTTTCACGAGAATCGCATGACCAGTCAATCCTATGAGCAATGACAAAAATCACTCTGCAAATGCTATGGGCTTAGCAATACTCCAAACTCTAAAGAACCATCATGCCAATCACTATACAAATGCATGAAGCTCTTGACCACATCCTCATTGTCATCTAAACATTCAAAATGTTTGAGTCCGGATCAACCCAACCTAAGATGACGAGAAGTGTACAAATTGATGCCTGTCCATTATTGTATTGGAGTATACCAAAAATTCTCTCCACTTACAAAAATAAACCTAAAATTCAATGATTATGGAAATGAAAGTTCAGAGAATAAACAAAAAAAAATTATTTTGTTTGGCTAGGCTTGTAAGGCGCGACCCGACCCCGAAGGACCCAAATACATTTAACGTATTATAATTTTCTTTAACCTCTCGATACCAGAGACTAAAAAAAAGACATATTTAAATACACCTTGTGTGATCACCCCTACCGAAGAAATCAGAGTCTCAGTTGGAGAGCAGGTGTTTCCTTATTACTGTGAGTAGAATCATAATTTTCTTTTGGCTCCAGAATTGATCCTTTTCTAGTCGGGGTTTAACTTTGTGAGTGAATCCATGAGAACTCATCTCACCTGCACATCCTGCCTAGATATGATATTTATGGATTTCCATGGTTGAAAATCTGTCAGAGCAATGTTGTGAACTCACAAAATTAAAAAAATTTATTGAATTCTCACCAAAAAACTCTATGAATTTCATGCAAAATGGAATATCAGCTTCATATGATGCGTTTAGTGAGGTATTAAATCACCTCGACGACATCTCATGCTTTGAACATGCCAACGAACAGAATCGCACATATTAAAATCGCACAGGTTTTTCCAATGATGCCTATCCTATCCTCCTCCTAAGAATTCGAAACACTTTTGGGAACAATGGTCTCTTGGAAGACTTGCTGTCGTTAGTCGTCCCTATTGCATGAATTGAGAGAGAGAGGGAGAGAGATGGAGAAATTTACCAGCACAGGGGCCAGCACGTCTACAGTCGAAGTTTCTGCAGCTCGTACAGGCCACTCGTCATCTCATCTCGTCCTGCTGCTGCTGGTCTGCTGCGTTCCCGAGACATGCGCATGAGGAAGACTGGCATTGATTGTGAAGGGCCGGCGATGGTGGAAAGGACGGGGATTATTTTATGATTGTTGGGGTCATGATAACTAGGCATACAGTTCCATAGGCTCAGATTGATGTCGGGAAGAAGCTGGGCGATGGAGAATCATACGAGCGTTCACGACACAGAAAGACTCGGAAAGACTCAGAAAGAAGCGGAGAGGTAGATAGCCTAAAATAAAACCTAAGGCCGGGGAAATCGATTAAAGAATTCTGGGCCCTTACAGATCTGTGACATCATGCTGCATGACATCAGGCGCTGCACAGCGTCCCAAATCAGTGGGAGCTCTGGAAAGCCAGAGTTGTGGATCGAGGGGCGCAAGAGAACAAGGCGCACAACGAAATTCCAGAACAATGATGCAATCTTCTTTTTCGAAAAGCGGTTGGCTGGTTGCCGTCCACATCCATCTGCACTATTCTCGCCCTCGGCACTCGCTTCTCGACAACTCCAATAGGTTAAGTCGATCCGACCTACGGCACGAAGGTTCGAAGCAGATCGAGGGGGGAGCTCACGAACCGAAGCCAAGCCAAGCCAAGAAGGAAGGGAGTCGGACGGGGAGCAGAATAAATCACAAAGTGCGGAGGGAGGGAGGGAGGCGCTGCTACAGCGGACATTCCAGTAGTTGCTAGCACCTCGATGATGTTGGAAGAACCTTTTTCTGGAGAGATTTTTGTCCCTCATGTCTGGGCCGATGTCTAACCAACATGTGTATGGGGAAGAATATATCCACAGCTTTGGGAAAAGCATACATCTTTTCCGCAGAATAGAATGTCGAATCTCGTCGTAGTCCGGCTCCTTACGTTGCGAGCAGTGTATGTACTGCAGGCAGGCAGACAGGCGAGGCGAGGCAGGAAACGAACTGATTCTGTCAACTTGCTCGGTGATGTGCGTGAATGAGTGCATCCCGATAGACGTCCTCTGGTGGTGGACCTTGCCAACATATATCTCAGTCAGGGCTAGGTACTACTGGTCGCTGCTATGACTGCTGCTGCTGCTGCTGCTACGATCGGTGGTGGGCCTCGAAGAGCATAAACTTTTGTCCCTGATTTTACTGGGACTCGTCCGGGTGGAAGGAAAGATAACAAAGACGTCGAGAGCATCTGCAGCGGCTGGTAGATATTAGGAGGATCACAAGAGAGACAGTAAAGTACTCGCTGCTTATTATTGCCGCTGTTGTTCGGCTTAAAAAGAATCGAGGGCGTAATCTTCTCGAGCAGCAGCAGCAGCAGCAAAAATCTGTTCGGTTACACTCGCTTTTTCTACAGCTGGAGTTCAAAGCTCAAGATGCCGTGTGCTGTCCAATGAGGTGAGATGAGGTGTGGGGAGGTGCCCGCGTTGCCGAGGAAAAAGGATATAAAAGGAGAATGCCATTTGAGGCGCTGTGGGGCTCGAAGTTTTATTAATGGCATGGCGAGGGGCTCGTCATCCTCATCGTCCATCATCCGAACCATTCCCGATCAGGTCCTTCACCTCCCTCGGCTTCCCCTCAAGCCAAGCCACGAAACTGGCAGAAGAGAGAGACTGAGATGCGAGCAGACGGCGACGCACAGAAACACTCAAAGAATGAAAGACACAGAGACAGAAAGATGAGAGAGGAGGCAAGAGGATGGGAAAAGAGGAGATTGTGAACGAATGAACGAACTGTCTGTCTTCAGGAGAAAGAAGAGGAAGCAAAAGCTTTATTGCGCAAGTGGAATCTGCCATGATTGCTCGTCCCCAGCGTGCTTGCAGGCTCGGTACGTGCCAGATTCGCGCTGTTTTCGAACTCCCTCCTTCCTCCTCCTGCGTACTTCTGATCTGACCCCGTCCCGCAGCCGCCCGCACTCGGTCGGGGCGCCTCGCTCGCGACTCCGCCACCCGCAGCCCCCGCAGCCCCGCTAGCGCGGACGGACGGGACGGGACTGGCTTTCGTGCTGCCAGTAACGCTGTCCCTCTGGGGCTTAGCCTGACTGCGCTGCCGCTGCATGGCGCGGGGCTTGGGCCAAGCGTGCCATGGCCGAGGAGGTGGTACGCAGCCCCTGCTTGCTGCCCCTCTAGTTCTAGGCACGGCCAGGCCCGGACGAGCAGCAGCACTCGCGAGGCGCAGCCCCCGTCAGAGCTCGGATCTCAGGCGCGCGCGCGCTCTTGCTTGCCCCTCGGCCTTGCCACCAACAAACGTTCTAATCTCGGATGGGGTTGGCGAGCCCCCATGGGGCGTCGGATGGGGCGGGACCACGGGGTTGCGGACAAAAGGTGTTCTTGCCCCTACGTCACGAGCCCACCCCCAGCCCCCAGCCCGAGCTCAGCAAGAGCGAGCCGGCCAAAGCGATGCGGGGGCAAGGCATGGCAAGGCATGGCAGCCAGAGGGGGGGCGGGGGGGCTCGCGAGGAACAGGAATGGGGACTGTGTTCGAAGACGGGGCGGGGGGGCTTCGGGACATGCTCCGCGTCTTTTAATATGTAACGGAAGACCCGGAGTCAACAGCCTCGCCTTCCCTTGAATTTCGTCCATCGAGTCATCTCCAGTGACGGGGCTGAGGTTCAAACGTCGATGATGGATGCGCGGAGCAGGTCAAAATATCTTCCCCGGCCTTTTCAGCGATATTAATAGTCCGAATTGCTCTGACAGTTTTTCCAGGCCTCACATGCCCGGCGATGCAGGGAGGGCAGGCATCAGGCAGGCAGGCATCGAAGGCCTTCGCTCCTCATCAACGCCATCAACTAATCTCTCCAATAAAATTCATCTCGAGCCGATTCTGCAGGCCTTCTCTTCCCTTCTTTTCCTTTTTCCTCCTGCCCTCCTTCGAGAAAAATTATCGTCCACACGAGAACATGTTTTGCCTGCGCTGCCCTCTCCAGCACTCCAGCATCCGTTTCTGAACTGGAATCTGCCTCAACAGCGGTTTAGGCTCGATACTTCGACGAGAGGGAATCGAGCTCAGAAATCCGTACTGCAATCTTCCCATCTCCAGTGCCGACAGGAGCGAACAGCATTGAGAATGTCTTATGATTCACTTGTGCTGGACTCTCTTGAGGACGCGGAGCTTTCCTCCTTTCATCCTGCAGCCAGTGGAATTAAAAAACACACAATTCTCGTTGCATCGAGAGGCAGAGGTTGTGAACGAGGAATCGAGCGAGGTTGTCTGCACGAGAGCTTGAGCTTAGAGTAATGGTAGTCACCCGAAGCATGCGCGTTTCTGCCATGAAATCCTGCAACATACAGAGAAGCCGGAGGTCACGTCATCCGGGCAGCGAAGATTATGACTTCGAAGACTCTGGAACCGAACTCATCTGACTCCGAGCGTGCTCGTCCGCGAGGCTCGTTTTAAGCAACCCTCGATCTGTGCAGCAAAGGCCGAGACTTCTGACAAGCGACATTGCGGAACTACCACTTTCGACACTTATGAAATGTGTCAGGAAGGTGGTACTTGAGAGCAGGATGAGGTCTTTGCCGGACCACTCGCTTGCCTAGGCAAGCGAGACTTGGTGTTCGGACACTAGAGTCAAAAGCGGGTCGATCACGCGATTTATGTGGATATGAAAGCCAAGCTGCACAGCGGCAACAAGGTTTGGACCCAGTACTCCGCACCGGTCTCAAACCTTGCTCAGGGAGCGAGCGATGGATGGATGGAGCCAAGATTATGCTCCCTGCCATAGCCCCGGCACACGATCTGCATTACGAGGCAATAAGATTCTTACAGCAGTAAACCTCCCGCTGGGCTCTTCTTCAACTCCAGACATCTGACAACATTTCGGCACACCGGCCTCTGCTGCAGCGCAGCGGAAGTGCCCTTGCTGGTCTCCACGATTATCACTGCAGCACCGAGGTTATCTATCCTCACCCCGGCGTCCAAATGAAGGATGTTGTCATAACTCATGACCACGCAAGTGATTATGCCACAAAGCGCTCGTCTCATCACGAGCTAGATGCAATATCTTCTTCACACAGGCTTGAATTGGTTTGATGGACAAAAGTAAAAGAGATTTCGCTGTACAGAACAGATTTCGCTGCGCTGCCGGTTTGGATAAAACAACCCCTTCCAGTGTCTGTCCTATGACATGATATCACCTGCGTAACCAAACAATGCCGTGGATTTTCTTGGCACCTTATCCACAGCTAGAGATTGCCTGTTCTGCCTCTGGCAGTAGGAAAGACTGGATGCGCTGGACACAGAGCAACTCCTGTAAAGTTTACAGCAAGCGGGAAAGCGAACGGATGCGCCAGAAACTGTCAGGAAACTTATTCGCTGTTTCTTGCGCTCGACTGTAACCGAAACAAGAATCAGAAAGCATTCAATCGTCCAAGACGTACAATTCTTCGGGGGCCGATGTCGAGAGAACACACACGCGACAGAGCGTCCTTACCTCCTCCAAGAATTAGCCTACGACCATTTCTTGACGTTTAAGGTTTGCGGCTGAGCCGATGGACCATGTTCACCACGCACGTACTCGTGTACTTTCTTGCACTTTCTTGCAAACTCTAGGCACGAGTGAGAGGCAGACGGCATCGAAGTATCGACAGATGTCGCAAACGCGGAGAGAAGCGTGTGCCTGGGTGCCAAACAAAGAACCCAAGTGCAGGCGCCAGACCGGAGCCGGGGCCACCTCGAGACTTTCGAGAGAGGTCGAGGAGTTCAGACTCCAGAAACCACAGTAGAAGTGCAAACGACGCCACAACGAGGAAGAAGAAGGTGCGAGAAAGAAAGAAAATTGTCACCAAGAAAAGAGGGGAAGAGAGGGAAGAATGGACATGGCATGCCAGGGGCGTACACGAGAAATAGATGCATAGATCTTCAATCAAACCGCTAGAATTTACATCGAGTCCAAGTCCAAGAAATTCAAATTGGTCAGCGGGGCGAACTCTTGTGGGCAGACTGACTGCAGCCATTCTGTCTCCTATGCCAACTGCCCTCCGAGGGTCGATACAGAAATTCCCCATTTATTATTTTGGCATACTCCTAGCTCAAACGCGCCCTGCCATTCGACCCACCGACCGACTACTTCGCGTACTAAAATCTAATAACTCTGGTTTGATGCTAGCCGTATTGAGTATACCAGTAAGCGTGTTGAGTACTTCACTTATTGTCCAGGTGACGGCTAAAGAAGAAGACTTGCAAAGAATTGATACAAGGCGATTGTTGGTAACCCCAGAAAAAACAGCATTACTACATGGATACTTTATCACAGTCGCTAGACGAGTGCTATGCTAATCGACAGGGTGGGCATAGTAAAGAAAGAATTGATGCCAGCTTTGATGTCACCCGCTTCTAGAAAACGCAAAACTTTTTCCCGACTGCCAGCCACCACCACCACGGAGCAGCGGCCACGGTTCGAATCGGCTAGGAATCGACCCGAAATCGATCGATCGATTTCGGTTCGATGTTCGAAATTGCAAGAGAAAGCGCTCAGACGAAAGCGTGGAGCGAGGGCGAGAAGGCCCAAATCTCGCGCTCCGAGCGGCTGAGCGACGACGAGCCGTCCTCCCAGAAGGGCAGCAGCGAGTAAGTGTTGGTGCGCAGGTCCTCGACGGCAATTCGCAGGCCCGGGCGGACGCCGCGCATGACGTGATAGAAGAAGTCGCCGTGGCCGATGCCGTAGTACTCGCCGCAGTAGGCGCGACCATTGGCCTTCTGCTTCTCCTTGATGGCGCGGAACATCTCGGGCGGCATGGAGCGCATCTCGGGCCCAAGGCCGAGCAGCTCGGCCTTGCCGGGCCACTCCTCGCACTGCAGCGGCCAGTCGTCGTCGTGGTTCAGGTGCACGAGCATCACATTGTGCTTGTAGAGCGCGATTTGGAAGTGCCACATGCAGTAGGCCTCGCGCGACTCCTGCGCCTTGCTCCAGGTCTCGTTCTGCAGGTCGAATTGCAGCACCGCCTTGACGATGGTGTAGCCGCCGTTCACCTCGGCCACATACCAGTACAATTTGCCATTGCACACGACGCTGCGCTCGTCGCCCACCCAGTCGCCGCCCTCGATCTGGCTGCGCAGCCGCGGCACGGGCGCCGACGCCTTCCAGGTGCAGGTGGCCGAGTCGTAAAGCAGAGTGGTGCGCGACCCGGCGACGTGCATCCCCGCCACGACGAGCTTGTAGTGGCCCGAGTTCACCACCATGCCCGTGAGCATGTACTCGTGCGGGCGCGAGAAGGAGGCGCCCTGCGGCAGAGGTGGCAGCAGCGGCGCCGGCAGACTGAGAAACTTCTGCTGCTTGGTGAGCACATTGCACACCACGAAATCCTCGCTATTCTCGTTGCCGCTGAAGCAGAAGAGGCCGCCGTCCGAGGCCACGAGGCGGTACGAGCACCAGGACCAGGGCAGCGCGCGGTCCTCCCAGCGGTTGGTGCGCGAGTTGAGGATGGAGAGGCAGCTGGTGCCGCAGTCGAGCGTGCCCGAGAAATTGCCCTCGTAGTAGTCACGTAAGTGCAGCAGCACCGATTTGGGCTCGGGCGTGCGCGGCGCCAAGTTGGGCGAGATGATCATGGCGTTCCATTTCTTGCTCACGGCGCGGAACTTGACCAAGCTCGGGAAGGGCAGCTTGCTCAGCACGCGCTCCAGCAGCTCCGTCGGCAGCGTCTCCCACAGCTTCGAGTCCAGATTGGCCCCGTCAGCCGGCGCGCGCGCCTCCATCGCGCCTCCCGCTTCCGCCGATCCGCACTCGCACTCGCTCTCTCTCTCTCGCTCGCTCTCGCTCTCGCTCTGCCTCCTGCGCTCTCACACGTCGCCCCATCTTCTGCCCGCTCGGCGCCCCGCGGCGGTACACCTGAATCGCCTCTGGTGCAGGTGGTGCCTGCGACGGACGGGGGTAGGGGCAGGGGCAGGGGCTGGCGACCGGACGGACGCGGACGCGGTGCTTATCGCTGGGGGCTGGGGCTGTTGCTGCTGCTCCGAGGCGCCGATCCTTCTTTCCCTTTCACAGCGCGCGCGTCGTGCAACCGGCAGCATAGCGATCGCTTTCTTCACGGCCTGCAACCGGGACGGGACAGCGGCCGCGACCGGAACCGGGAAGGGGACTGGGACTGAGGCTGGGGTTGGGACTGGGGCTGGAAGTGGGTCTCGAGGCGCTAGCGTTGCGCCACTGCACCGCACCGCACCGCAAGGCGACGCACTCTCCCTGTCCAACACGGAACAACGAACTCTAGGCGCCCCGAACCGACTTGGGGCGCTTTTCTACTCCTGTCTGCTGCTACTGCTGCTGCTGCTTGCCTCGAGGCGCTGTTGTCACTTTATATCAGACGATGTTCCATCCGCCATCTTTGTGTGCAGTGCTGCTTTCATCCCACGTGTGTATGATACGGATCATACGGAAGCGAACGGATTATTCCTCGCAGTCATCACTTCGAGCCCACCGTCACTGCACCATGCAAGAGCTGACAACTTCCGCGTCCCATGACTACAGCGAAAAGACAAGAAATTAAGGAGCCCTGATTCTGCCAAACTAAATCACTCTCCTCTACTCGTATCGGAATCTACACCTCCCCCTCGGCTGCCGACTCTCTGAGCCCTTTTTGCCTCCCTCTGTACTGTACCACCCCCCCTTCTCTTCCTTCTCCACAACGATCACCTCGTTCCCTCATCCCTAACCATCCCTCTCCTCTCTCTCTCTCTCTCTCTCTTCCTCTCTCGAGTCCTGCGAGCTGCCTGCTCCCACCGCTGCTCCTCTCTCTCTCTCTCTATCTACCTGTGCGAGCGTGTTGTGAGGCGAGGGCCTTTGCCTTAAAGCCCACAGCGCGCATTGCGAGTACTTGAAGCCATCTGGAAGAATATGATGAGACCCATTACCGGCACGTACCGTACAGGACCACACCTTAGGCCCGCGACCATCAACTGCGGCCCTTCAAACCCTTCTCATGAAAAGTGGCACTGCAATGAGTGGAGGGAGACGATGGTGAGAGAGAGAGAGAGAGAGAGTGAGAGAGAGGAGCGAGCGAGATAGAAAGAAGGAACGAAAGAAAGACAGAGATAAAGAGAGGGAGGGAGGGAGGGAGAAACGCCTGCCCCGGGCGTGCCTGGCCTCGCTGCCTGCGTACCGCCCCGGCTTCAGGAGAATGTGCTCGCGAGCCAATTCGTCGAGCGAGCGAGCGGAGGGAGTGGAGTCCTCGACCAGGAGCCCCAGTTGGAAACGATTCCAGGAACCGGTACTGACGAACGACCGAAAGAGAGAGGCAGCAGCGATCAGCGAAATCCCGGCACAAGAGAATTGAGTGACGACGATCCGTGATGATGGATTCTCGCCCTTGCGAATGATGGCTCTTCTGGACGCGACACGAGTCGAGACCCCCGTCCACTGTGCGAACGAACTCACGCGAGGAGGAAGAGGAGCAAGAGCAAGAGGGATGCAGGGATGCAGGGATGGTGGGTTGGGATTAGGGGGGGGGAAGCGAGGGAGCGAGGGAAGTGAGGAGGGAGGAGGATGGAGGATGGAGGAGGAGGAGGGCCTGCGCTGAACTGAACTGAACTGAACTGGACCGAACTGGAACTGGACCTGAACTGCAGTGGAGTGCAGTGCAGAGAGCGCGGTGAGGGCGAATTTTCCAGCAGCACCAATCTAGTCGCTAGGAGCTTCTATGGCTAGGCCGCCGCAAACGCTAAAAACGCCTGCATGCAGTGATGACGTATGGTACACCGGCACCGTACCTCCACTGAGCATCTGCCACAATATCAGTGACACTAGCTCACGATCTTGATCCGTTCAGATAAAGGCATTTAATCGATGATGACGAAAATCGCTCCAAAACTGCACCACGTCAGGCCGAATGAGCACATCGTCAGGCCGAGCGAGGGAATGAATGAATTAGAGCATTCAGCCCTCTCGACTCTTTGGCGCAACATATGCCTCTTTCTCTCTCTCTCTCTCTCTCTCTCTCTCTCTCTCCCCGTTCGTGGATGACGGCGAAATTCAGGCGACTCCACGACACTCCACGGAATTAGAACAACAATTTGCAACATGTACTTGGCCATCGCGGACCGGAATAGATTGCTGCTGGTCCCGCTTACGTCGTCGTCGGCAGGCGGACACCATCCACTCCGTGGCCCTCTCACGCCACTCTCACCAGCGCACTCGCTCTCATTCGTTTACCAATTCTGCGAATCTCTGAAAGCTTGGTACGATAAAGTGAGGGCATGATTTCGGTATCTGTGATGGCATTGTTTAAGCTCATGCCTCGCGTGGGCATTGCCCGGAATACAATTTACAAAAGACCATCGCCCCCATGCGCTGTCACATTCATGTACCTGCGCTGCGGCCCCCCACCCTCCTCACGCATCGCGTGCTGCTGTGCCTTCCACCGATTGTACCTCAGTCCGCCATGGGCTTCGACACTGCCAGCAGCACCATCAGCATCCCGCCTCGGCATCCTGCTCTCGGAGCTCTCCCTTTCTCTCCCTCTAGGAACAGGTGATTTATTCGGTGCTCGCCCTCGCGAGGACGAAGAGATTGACTGACGAGGAAGACGGAGCCTCGCGCATCAGGCAGGGAAGCACGAGGGTTTGATCCGAGAGCATCCCGGATGCCACACCGAGAAAGCTTCTTCGAGAGACCGAGAGGGAAATGGTGCGCGAGTCTGCAGGCTTCCGCAAAGGGGATTGGAATTGAGAGAGCTCCAGCGAGCGAGCGAGCGAGCGGAGCAGCACTGCGCAGGTCGTGGCGTCGATGGCGCACGGCTGGCGAGGAGACGGGCCGAAGGCACAACAGTGTGACCCGAGAGACCGGCAATGGCAATGGGATCGATGGACGCAAGACAACAAACAGTGAGACTGTCGCGCGAGTTTCTCTCACCGATTGAAGGAAGGGAGGAAGGAATCTCCTCGCTCGCGGTCGGTGGACGGACAGCTCTTGCTATTTCAGACAGACAGACGCCAATCCTCCAATTTCCAAACTCTCAATTGCACGCACGCACGCACGCACGCCCGCTCCGCATTCCTCGTCCCCGCGATCCGATTACTGTGAGGCGAGACAATCGATCTCGCACCACCGCAATCTGCAAATTTAGACCGTCAGAGAGTCTGATCCACGGCGAGTCGATGAGAGGCGATGAGAGTCGAGATTCGACCCCCGTGCGCGTCTGCGACTCGGCAATCGGATCTGAACTTTCGAGTGCTCCAATTCTCTCGAAAGGAGGAGACAACAAAATGACAAGAAGGGTTCGGTCCGAGACGCAACGCAACGACGAGCGCGCTGTCGATGTCGACGCACGTGCAGCGCCATGGACGCGGCCGGGGGCTGACTAGGACACGACCGACTCCAGTGGGCTTGCCCCTCACCACGCTGCCTGCCCAGATACGGGTTTTGTCTCGACTGCGTGGGGGTTGGGCTTGGGCTTGGGGCTGGGGCTCGGATGGATGGTGACGGCTCTCACGGGGGGCGGGCAGGCGAGCGAGCCACCGACCGAGCGACCGACCGACCGACCGACGAACGAGAGCCCCTCGTCCTGGCCATCGCTCTCTTCTGTCTGCTGTCAGAAGTGCTTGTGATCGACGCGGCTCTCGCTTCCGTGGAGGACGACCGCGCCTGCTGCCCCCCGGTCGACCTCAATTCCCGCCGGACAATTGCGTTTCTGACTCGCGGACCACCATATGCCTCCGTCGGTCGCCCGCTCTCCGAGTCGCTCGGTGACCGGCTCGGCTCTTCCTCTCGTGGAACCACGGATTGCCCCTTCGCGCGACACCGGCCCATCTTACCCGCTTCGGCGAGCGAGCGAGGGCGTTCCCCTCGCGATCGAACGAGCTCACGAGCACTGCGATGGCTGACTGGTCGCGATTCTGCAGCATGACAACTCAATGACAGCAATGGCGGACAATTTACGGGTCTCGGGAGCTTGGGAGATTGCTACCTTGAGCTGAGGTGCCGAAATTCGATGCTGCCTGCACTCGTCGGCTCGATTAATCGAAGTGAAGATCGATTGTGTTGCAAAGAGAGGATGTCGCAGCAGCAGCAGCAGCAATTCTCTCTTTTGCAACTCCACGAGCGACTCGAGCTCCTCTTGATTCGCGACTGCCCTCGTCTCTCTCCTATCCCGGCCTACTTGCATCAAACGACAATCAGTCCTGCAACGAATCACACCAAAGGCGATCAGACTCGCGTCCTCTCTCTCTCTCTCTCTCTCTCTCTCTCTCTCTCTCTCTCTCTCTCTCTCTCTCTCTCTCTCTCTCTCTCTCTCTGGAAACGTCTTAGCTTAAGCGGGATAATTGATTGTAGGCGAACTTTTGCTGTAAAGGCTATGGTAGAAGAAGACGAGGACGACAAGAGTAGTCTGATTCCTGCCTTTCTAGCACCACCAACACCATTCATATGTTCGTTCACTTGTGGGCACGAGGGAAACGCGAATGCCCTCCTGTTGACTCTTGTCTTCTCTCCCTCCTCCTCCTTCTCCTACACCTTCTCTCTCTACACTCCATTAGAACTCGCTCCGTACTCCGGCTCCGCCCAATCTCTCGACATCACCCGTGCTTACGAAGTTCATAGAACCCAGACGAACGAAACAACGAACGAACGAACAATTCTTTCACGTCGAGCTTCGGTGAATTCGTATCGAATGTAGAGGGTAGAGGTTGCGACGAGCGTACCGAAGAAGATGACTATGGTGAGAAGCGTTCGAAGGAGAATGAAGGATTCCCGTATTTGTCATGGGGCAGCTCTTTCTACTGACTCGGACCAAACACGATCAAATCATGCCGAGCAGCACATCGTGCAAGTCAATGACCGCGAGAACTTGTGTTTGACAACCCACGAACGAAGACTCAGACCATAGCCAGCCATCTATCGATATTTCTATCCATCTATCAATCTATCCATCTGCTTGAATGTGGTGACGACTATTTACTGCTCGTTCTCCGACTGCATTCAATCTCCTGAACGGGATGCATGTTCATGATCTGTGTTCAATGCACACGAACCATTTCGCCTGAGCTCAGATCGTCCCTCCTTCCTGCTACTGCTGCTGCTGCAAGCGACTCAACCAAAGCTGAAAATCGAACCTGGAATCGTTGCCACTTTCCTCAGCCGCCTGCACACATTCAATCACTCGCGGTGCCAAAAGCGCAACCGTTTTGCAATCGAAGCTCACAGGAATGGGAAGTCATGGAGCGCGCTACTATGTTCCACAGTCCACAAAACCACTCGAGTGACAACTCTGGCAGCTGTCATCAAATCGTAGTAGTATAATGAGCGAGTCTAATTATGTACACCATGTCAACAGGGGACGGTACTACAAGACTATAAGGAGGTAGCTTTTGGAGATACTTTGTATGAAGCGGAGATGGGATGCTTTTTGCAATCATTGAGAGGAGAGGCGAGCGAAGTACAGCATGAATAAACTCGAGTGCTTGTGGACCTGAAAGAATAATGTACCACGAGAGAGTTTTAAATGTTCCTTTTCGACGTACTTGTGGAAAACCAACATGAGCAACCTATCTGCCAGATCAAAAGGAAGGAAAAAAACACCCGCAGAATACCATAGAGAAGAAGACCAACATACCCCAAGCACAACTTTAAATGAGTGAATATCTGAAGCTTCTCCTCTCGATCGTCTTGTGATGAGTTTCTAAAAAGAAATCCTTGTTTAATATGTAAAATATCGTTTAATGTATTCAAGAAAAATCAAAAATACAAGTTTATTGCATGTTTCACATTTAGCTGAAACGAGATGTATAATATTTCATCAACAATTCAATATTCATTTTGTGAGGAATTGAAATCTAATCTAAAGATTGCATCAATGAAATAAAAATTACATCACAAAAATATATAAAGATTTAATCTCTTTCAGTCAGAAAAGAAATGAGTCAAATATGAAAGCTATGGTTAATTAAATCTTACAAATTTGATGAAAAATTTGGCATCATTAATAATTATAATTTAACACATCTAGATCATTAGCACACAACATAGATAAAAAGACCAACAAATCCCAAGCACAACTTCAAATGAGTGACTATCCAAAGCTTCTTCTCTCAATCGTATTTCGTATGGATTTCTAAAAGAAAACATTGTCTACAACTATCTTTAGATTTTTAACAAGATAAGTTCGCCTATGGTTATTATTATCTTGTTTCCTTTCATGTTTTTTCTAAAGAATGAGTTTGGAAATTACTAGTTTGTACTAAAGGGAATCTATGTGATAGTAAAGCTCGAGAAACTCAAAGAAACAAGCAAGCCAAGTCATAGACAAGATACGATGTAACATGGTTCATCCTCTCGAAGAGGCTACGTCCACCAAGAAAAGTAAAGTGCTGCGTGATACCCACGCAGCACTTTACTTCAGGATTTTCACACAAGACGTACATCATGTACAAGAAAAAGCCAGGTATTTAAATCTTAGTCCAAGCAACCGTCTTAGCTAAATATAGTCATGACATGAAATTAATCATTAACTAGAGTTAACCTTAACAATCTCCCCCTTAACTCATGTTAAAGAAATAATAATCACTATAATCTATATTATTACTATGCGCGAAGTTATAGATGGAAACTTAACACAAATACATACTTTACACGAAAGTCAACTAGAACCAAGCCGTAGCCATAATAAGATAAGGTAATAACATAAAGGGTTCACTACAAATATGCTTAGACGAAAAAGAACCTCTTAAGTTATATATTTACTTCGCGGAAAGTTCTAGAAAGAAACCTAATACAAGGCCCTTCTTTACACAAGAGCTAACCAGAACTAAGCCGTAAACATCACAAGATAGAACAATCATAAAAAGAAATAACCGAAGATATTATGGTAGCAAACTTTACATGTGCTCCCCATGCACCATTTGCATTGTAGCATAGTGTTGCCTTAAACTCTCCAAAGTAATAACTTTGATCAACGCATAAGTTGTATTGAGTTTAGCGTCAATCTTGATCGGCTCAATCACCAGAGTTATCGTCAATCTTGACTAGCTCAATCACCAGAAATTACTGTCAATATTAACTAGATCAATCATTAGCTCAAGAACTCTACCAGATCGATGCTTCTTCCTATGCAAAGATTTTTGCTAATCAATACTGAGATCTTGAGAATTATCCCCCTCTTTCAATGAAGAGGTCTCATTGAAAGAGACACATCTACTAACAAGAACATTACAATCTACATTGTCGATGATTTACTGTCAACTGTGACTAGTCCTCACCGTCGGCCGCGACTAACTTTGATTACCCCTCTACTCTATTCCTTGATCCCTCAAGAAGGATACCATTGGAATCGAATCTGCAAACAGTGAAGTCTCAAAAACATTTCTTTCCCTTTTTGAAAATGCAGTATGCTAAGTGACGACAACACTACTTCTTGCACGTAGCTGAGAAGTATGTGCCTTGTTCCTATAGGGTGTGAGTATGCATAGGACCTGCACACATTTGTTCGGATGGAACTTAACCTGTTTGCTTGTTCGTTCCCAGACTTTCAATTCCTTTCACCTGCTCATGGTAGCTCTAATCTTGTGACTCAAACACATTCATTCAACATGTAGAATCAACAAAATCATATCGTCCTCCCTCTCACTCGCCATTCGTTCTGGTTGGACATGTGCACTTTCGGATCTCTCCCGACGCTTATCGATTGTCAATGTTCGCTTCGGGTCTTTGACTATCATAGAGTATTAAGCTTTCACGCTGAACCTTCTCACCAGCAAAAGCTTGATACGATGAAGGGTGAGTTGTGTAGCTTGCCTAACGTACGCCCTCAAATCTTTGGAACACAAACACGGACCGATTGAACTAATAAACAGCACAAAGCTGGAGATCATGAAAAACTGGGGCAAAAAAAAAAAACAATGTCGCCTTCCAAGAACACAGTGACGTAGTTCAAATCGATCTCGCTTGACTCAAGAACAACGATTGGTTAGTGGTTTGAGCTCTCGGCTGCAAATTACTTGTCCGAGCAAAGATCACTCAAGAAATGAAGCCCTAGAATGCCTGAGCTACGCATGACTAACAGCCTTCGTCACCTACCCAGTATTTTTGTTTGAAAACGGTTGTAGAATCAATCATTAAAAAATACTATAAAAAACGCTATGACATAAAATCCGAAACGGAACCGGATCTGATACCAATTGTAATCATGAGAATCACAACGACACATTTTGTGAAGCACTAGCATTGGCAACAGGATTTACTAGACTTTTATTGCCTTTCTATTGTTTGTCCTATACGATGTTAGTGTAAAATGATGTCGTAGATTCCTCATCTTACTCGTTGTCTAGATCACAATCCCTAAATCCGTAAAATTCTTTGTGGAACTCTCGTCTCCATTGTTTTTGCATAGGAAAAAAGAGCTGCTAGAAGAGCATCAATCAAGCAAACAAAATGACGAGTTGTCTCCCTGGTCGTCATAGCAAACTCTCAGCAAACTACAGATTTGAACAAAAAACCGGCTCAGATACCAAGATCGTAAAACTTGATAAATTTAGAGAAACAATCAAGCCAAGTCATAGAGGAGACACGATGTAGCGTGATTCATCCCTTTGAAGGAGCTATGTCCATTGAGAACATGCAGCATTTTACTTTAGGTTCTCACACAAGACGTACATCATGTATAGGAAGAAACCAAGTGTTTAACCCTAGTCCATGCGAACGTACTGGCTAGGATCTAAAATTACTTCTGAATTAGAGTTAACCTCAACAGTCTATAGTGAATTTAGATTGCAACCCCACATTAATTTTTTGAGCAATGTCAAATCATTTATACAGCTAGGAGTTGTGGAACTCCACGTGTATATAGATATTTGGCTTTGTGAAGTCAAAAATATTTCTTGAAAAAAAAGTATTTCCATCATACTCAGGTCAACTTCTCTCCTTATGCTACTATTTTGATAAACAAGCATGGCAAGAGAGACAAATGCAGAATGATCTACCAACTCATCAACTCAAGTATATATTTAATTTAGAGATAGAATGTTAAAATGGATGAAAAAAAATGTACATTAACAAAGATGCATTAACATTCGTCTTTTCAAATATTTTGAGAATGAAAAAGATTAAGTGAATGCGATTTCATATTCTTAGAACAAATAAAAATAGAGTTGATTCAAAATCTTGTTGTGGGTATTTAAGAAAACGTTAATAAATAATATAATAGCATTGATTATATATATGTATTTATATACAAAAATGTTAAAATGACCACACAAATTGTCAAAACAATCTCACCGCTGCAAATCTTTTTTGCACACACGCCAAAGTTTAACCCTACTTCCGGAATGAATCATCAAGCCAAAGTGATGCTCCGCAGTTTGAAATCGTTCAAGGAGTATCATTTGCTCAAACTAAGGCTTCATGCTACGATTCACACGTGCTAAAGTGTCAACTTTGCGGTAAGACAAGAAACTATGCACAAACATGTGCTCAACATAATTTTTTTCTTGCAAGAATCTTTGCAATAGTTGCAATAAGTAATTATTAATCATTGTTCTTGAGTTGTGTACTTAGGAATATCATGTTTGATTGTATTTTCTGCATATAAACACCAATATGTAACAAAAACATGCTGGGAGATATACTTGACTTGAGTTACAAAAAACTTATTTTTGATTGGTAGAAATTTATTTTTGGCAAGTCTCAATGTGGTCGTTTTAACAATTTTTGTGGTCGTGTATATATATATATATTAAGAGTCTACAATCATTCAATTATCTCAGATAGCAAGAGATGAGTTGAAATGTTTTTTACATTTTTTTGTATATACAAGAATTTTGTTACTTTTTTTCATCACAAACATTTGTTGTGTTCATTGAATATAATTTAGTATACACAAAGAATATCAAGATAGAAGTTTAATACATGTTTCACACTTAGCTGAAAATGAAATGTAAATAATTTCATCAACAATTCAATATTCATCTTGTCAAAAATGAAATAATTTGAGATTGCATCAATGAAATGAAAATTACTTATCATTCAAGTTTCATCTCTTTCAATCAAAAAAGTAAAAAGTCAAATAAGAAAGCTATGTTTGATTAAATCATACAAATATGATGATAAATTTCACATCATCAATAATTTAAAATAAGCACATTTAAGTAGTTTGACTTCACAAAAGTACAAATTTGAAAAAAATAATCATAAAAAAATATGAATAATATTGCAAAAAAAATATTAAGTTAAAGACATGATATAAAAAAGTGATGAATATGTGGCAAGAATAAAAAGTCCAGCAATTTTGAAAATTAATGAGATATCACATAGAGATAAAAAATTAATGATAATATATCATCAAGTCAAAAAAAATAACAAAAGTAACAAAAAAATTAAGCTTCAATAGAATAATAGTTTTGTAGATGTCTAACAGTATTTATAAACTCTAAATTATGAAGATCAAATTTATTACAAAAAAAATTGAACATCAGATGCTTATTACATATGTCTATATATATATATATATAGAGAGAGAGAGAGAGAATAAAAATAATGTTTATTTAGCTATATGAACAAAAGTTTTAAAACAAATTACAACATAAACTAGATTATGTGATAGTTCTTATAAACTCTAAATCATGAAGATCAAATTAATTACAAACAAAATGAACATCAGACGCTTATTGCATATGTCTTTATATACATAGCTTGAAAATTATCTTTATTTGGCTATATGAACAAAAATTTAAAAATGAATTACAACGTAAAGTAGATTATGTGTTAAGTCTTATAATCTAGTGTAATAAACATTTGCGCAATCTATCATAATTCCACATTTGTGATTCTTGGTGAGAAATTTCAATGTTAGGAGATCAAAGATATGATTTATCTACATAGTTTTTTACTTGGATACCTTGATTAGAGCAGTAAATTTCATTCTTCCTGCAAACTATTCAGGAAAATCATTCTCAGTTAATATAGTTTTCACAATTTAGATTAACATCTAATTTATGAACTAAAAAAATTTGAATATATTGTCACATAGCTAGAATACAAGAAATCAGAAGTTTTAAGATTTAAAAGTTTGTAATCTTCTTCAAAAAGTCAATAAGTTTTATATATTACTTTTTTCGAATATCATGACGCATGTGTCACAATGAAATATATCATATGTACTATTATACTGTGATACACATAGACATTTTTGAGCTTCCCTTGGGGTCGTAGGTCCTTCCGAGGCTTCTTTAGCTTTAGGGGGGTTACCCAAAAGGACAAGTATATACTGGTACAAAGCAGTTATATATTTTCATATTTACATTACGGATAACGCTTGCATCCTCTGTCTTACCGCGGCTGCTGGCACAGAGTTAGCCGATGCTTATTCCTCAGATTTTTTTTTTTAAATATCAGTTTTTCTTTTGAAATAATTTTTTAAAATTTTGATCTTAGTTTTAAAAATATTTAATTCTCATGCTATTGAAATGATACAGGTTATTCTTCCTAGTACTTTTTCACTCTTGCTCCCTCACAGTTGTATCTATTATGGTTGCTCTATTTACAAACTTTTATGATCCAAGTATAAAGTATGCTATATGTTTAGATTAAAAATTATTATATACAAGATCATAGTAAAATTTTGAAGTAATCTATGATGAATTTAAAAATATCTTTTTAAGTATCTTATGTCATGTAAGAAAAAGAAAATAGATATTAGTTGTAATAAATATGTATAACATGTTAGTGCGATGATTTACCAATTTTACAACATAATTTGCTACATTTGCTCCTTGAATTTGTCAAAAAAAAATAAAAATTTCCGCTTCAATATTTTTATCAATAATAACAAATTATCGACATTCTTTTAATCTAAAAATCTCAACTTTATAGTAAAATTACTTTTCAACAATTTGGTAGATCAAATATATCATTTGAAGTCAATCTAAAGCATTTTATGTTTGAAGACATATACTATCTTCAAATCTAAACGGATGTTTGATATAAAATTTTTCATTAGCTTTTCACATCTGCTCATATTTTTCTAATAACTTCAAATTTATGTTATTTCTTCCAATATGTGCTATTGATTGTTTTTATCATTTCAAATATACATTTCATAAAAAATTTATCATAAAAATATGAAATATATGATTTTAATGTGTTAAATTTTTTTTGCAATATTTAGGAATTTTTTTAAAAAAAATTTCTCAACATTTTCAAAATTTTATATTGAATAGATTTTTCCGTTTTTTTTAGAACATTTAGAAAAAAAAAATTCAATAAATCGGACAGAAGAAAAAAAACCTCTTCTTTATTTTTCTTGCTAGTTATTTTTTTTCAACATAAATCTCTCCATCTCAAATGTCTCTATGCATTTTTTTCTTCCATTATTACTTCATGTTGCATCTTAGAAACACAATTATGAAAAAAAATCTCTTGAATCTTTCACTATTGAAATAAATCTAATTTTGCAGACTTGAAGAATATTTATTTATTCTATTTTTTTTTCAAAACAACACACACAACAACAATTATTCCCAACTTTTCTCATTCATGTTTTACCAAAATTGATTTGTATGAAAGCTAATGTATAATTGAGTATTTAAGATTATAAGTGAAAATAGATTCTTGAAATATAATTTTTAATTTTCAATCTTTCTGCAATGCATGCTCAATTTATTCACACAATTAAAGTGATCACATCATATATATAGTTTAACTTAAACTTATATGTTGAAGTACTTTTTGGGGCCTTATTCTACAATTTAAACATGCCAATCTTACTTTTAATCAGATTTTTTTTCACAATATCTACTATAACTAAATCTTTCATCTGATGAATTTTAATTGTAATTTAATTGCTTTAAATTGAATATAATATATATTTTTTTCTTTGATAAAAAATTGAAATTGAAATTGATTCAATTTTTGAAATTTTTCAATTTCAATTCAATTGAATCAAATATTTTTTTTTCTTTGATAAAAAATTCTAGTTTTATAACGTTAATATTGCTCAAAAAACAAATTTTGTAATGTTGTCAGTATTTAATACAACTTTCTTCATTTGAATTTTTTTTTATATTGGAATTAATTATTGGAATAATCAACTATTGGAATTAACCACATAAAATACCTTACTAATTTAATATTTTTGGCCAGCTTTGATGAGATAAAAATCAACAAATCAAATTTGACTTGTCTGATATGGTTTTATAAAAAAATACGTTTTCCTTTCAAAGGCACATTAAACACATTTACCATGTATTCAGGCTTTTCAAGATATCTCATAAAGTAAAGAAACCTCCAATTCTGGAAATTTTCGCGTCAATTGTTTTGAAGTACCAATGAATCTTGTTAGACCAATGTCTGGTTCGCTTCTTTTAAGAGAAATGAATAAACCTAGTGCGCAATGGTCCGTATAGCGTATCTCCCATTTCCAATTCAAATAAGGAGCCGACACATGAGATTCTGGATTCTTTGAGTCCAATTCAATGTCCTGAAAGCTCAAAAGAAGTAGACAAGCGTCAACTACAATAATATAAATAATATCGCGGAAAAGGATAGGAAGACCAGAGGAGTCGTGGGGTAAATGGTAATAGATAAACCAGGAGGACCCAAATTGTCAAAAGATTGAAAAATACAATAAAAATAAAATCACAAACAAATTAAAGACCCCAAAGATCAATACCTAGTTAAAAGATCTCAAAGATAAATCCCTAGTATAACAATTTAGATCAAAATAATTGTAATAGAACTGTATTTATGGTTTCAGCATTGGTTGGAACCACGTAGAGTAGAAACCGAAACCACAGCGCATGCTACGAGCTCCCTCCTGCGTGACATTATCGCAGCATGGTTTCGGCACCGGCAATTAGATCGTCAATTCCACCGTGAATTGTTGCCCAATCTGACGGTTCAGATGGGAATCCTAGGGCCTCCTCCGGTGACGGGATTCAATTAAAAGGTCGACGGAGCCCCTGCAACATTTCGTGATCAACCCGATCATTTCGTGGAGTTGGAGAGTCACTTTCAAGCGGCCGCAAATTTTCTACGGGCCATTGTCGTTTCGCGTGATTCTTCGGAGTTTTCTCCGTCATTCTGCTCTCACTAGATTCGTGCGTTTCTTCGGAAGTAGGTGGAATACATGTGTCCTCGGGCGCAGTGTAACGTCCTCTCTGCGCTCCGTCGTCGCCGTCGTCAACTGCTGACTGCATCCACAGCGCACCGCAGTGCTTCGCGGCTTCGTCACAGCCAGCCACCGCCCCTCTCTTACTGCTGGCTGACGTGAGTATTGCTCGTGTTGTGAGTGGAGCTTGCGCATTTCTCTTTCGAGGGACGCCAATCCATCTATTGGAGTTCGGTGATACTCGCTACCGACCGTATTCATGATCGTTTCGCTACCTCCCTTCGTCCGCCGTCTAATCAGATTTCCTACTCTGCCCGGTTCCTTACATGTACTCAAACCACACATGGCGTACTGCATTTGGTACATTCCAATAGTTTCTGACATACACAGTTTCGGTATACTCTTTCATTCTGCCAGTTAACGAACGGAGCTTCACTTGAAGGAAGAAAGTTCGACGTGGAACCCAGAATAAAACACCGATTCACGATCCATATCGCTTCCTCCAGTCGGTTTCGGTGCATTCTTTCGGGTTTGTGAAACCTAGATGTAGAGTCTGTATCAGTGTGTGCTTTACTTCCTTCCAATTTCAAGTCGTGAATTACTCGACTCAACGTCGAGTCGACCACACTCAGCTGAGTGTGCGAAGGTGATACTTCGTCCCGCGACCCAAATACTTTTCCGAACCGGTTGCCTGACCTTTCCCCGAATACAAGTACAGCAAATTACACATTTCAAGCTCATTTGCCTCGTTCCGGCAGATGAGCTTAAAATGAGCTTAAAATGTGACCTGCTCAGAGCGTGCTCTCGGCTTCTCGTTGAGAACGGCTTTCATCATGTGCTACACGGCCTAAACTCCCTGAGGTTCAAAAAGTTGTAAGAATTGATGTTTGAGATTAATAATGAGAAGTAACGAGACATTGAAGAAGAAAGTAAACTGGGAAACAACGTGGCCACACTAGTTTAGAAAATGAATTTTCTGGCACAGCTTCAGGCAGAGAAAGTGGCAGTACAAGATATTACCGGGATTTAGATTTATATGTTCTTTCATCAAGTTTACTGATCACGATATGGTCGAGTGAAGACCGTATTAAAATCTGTTGACGATCACGCATATGTAGATCGTAATAGGGCCTGCGCGGCTCCCATGATTAGTATCGTTCCTTTACAATTGAGGTCTCTATTCGACAGAATGCATAGAGGAATGGAATAAGAAGAACTCTGTGTCAGAGTAGAATTATATCCCCTATTATGATTGTCGTTTGGTGTAAAAAGAAAAAATCTAATCTACTTGACACATTCACGAAGCGAAAATCAGTTCTTCAACTTTGGCTTGTTGCGACATATCAACTGATCGCGAGACGAACGAAGGCCAAACAGGTTTAGATACGCAAACTTGCCAAATTACGTGGACGACTCTCCAGACGTCTGTAACTCATATCGTACGTATGGCACTCACTTACAAGACAATATTTCACCACTGCTGAGAATGAGCAGCACATCAAATCCTAAATGAACACGTGATTCAAGAACAAAATATCTATGACCAGCATCCATTAACTGTTCAATCGACAGGAGTTTGGCGATTAACATGACAAAGATACTTCTCCTTCATCATGTAAGAAAAACGTTGCTGTGAGACACCTAAGTGAAACAGTGATGATGTACGAAACCAGAACCTCTCCCAGGGTGATGTTCGACCTTCCAGGCAGAAAACCATAAAAATAGGTCTAACATCTCAAGAGATATCTCAAAGGTTCCTATCCAGTATTTATGTCAGGACTTTGCATACACTCGAAAAACATTTCAACATCCCTGAGAATGACCAACTATACGACGAGATAAGATTTATGACTTCCAGTAGGGTGAACGACGATGGAATTCAATGAAAGTGGTTGGAGAACGAACTTAAGGTCCTGCGTTTGGCAACCTTAAGTTCGTTCCCAACCAGTAGCTGGTAGCACGCTCATAGCTGAAGCCGATTTCCTAGAGTATATTCATATACGAACGATAAGACAACGTCACACCCTTCGGAAATTTAATCAGAAACACTCTACAGTGTCCTCAAGCTAAACGAACTAGGTGTATATAGTACTCCCGAATTCTCAGTTACGGACATTTTTTTGCAACGCTCTACTCCGGGCAGCAATCTTATAATCATGGAAGTATAGATTCGAGGTAACAGTACCCTTTAACCGGGTGTTCTCGCCTACTATCCCTGGCCTTCGGCAGTTTCATCCAACCCTCAGGGCCCCTGTCGTCTCGTCCAATTACGCAGTAAAGTCCCACTAATTATTACAAACGCCAGGAGAAAGACATGGTGAATGGCACTAACCCCCTGGATCTTTACATGTCGCTACTAACGATCTCCATCCTTAGCTCAACAGCTAGCCACCAGCAGCAAAATCTACGTGTATCCACACCCTAAAGCGCTTCCTCAAAGCATCCGAAAGAACACTCCGCGTGATGAGCCTTGTCTCCCATCTGTAATCTTTCCTCTTTCAAGCAACTCCAAGGGTCACTGGCAAAACTGTGTTTATAGGGATCTAAGAACGCTCTGCTCTTTCATCAGCTGATGGGATCGGCAGCGGAAAAAAAAACAGTCACGCATAAAGTTGAGACTTATCGAGTACCCAAGCACAAGTAGAACCCTACGCTCTATCCGTCCTGGGGGTAGCCCACTCCACTCGTAGGATGAGGTTATCATAACCGTATCCGTCAAGCTTGTTAATCGCACGCACTGCATCCTCTCTGAAGGTTTCGAAACGAAAAACACATTGGCGATTACGATCAGAGCAAACTCAAAACATGTCAACCATGTCTTTAACATAGAAGCTTCTTAGTTTCCAAAAGGATCATGATTCAAGCTCGGTTGGCTACCAAAAAAACTGCATGAGAAGGAGTAAGGTCTGCTGCTGTGTATCATGATGCGTTGTATGTAGAGATAATAGATGCCTTGGACTAATAAAGGTGCTGCTTTCTGAAAAGAAAAATCTGAGAGAACCAAAGACTGACACACTTGACGGACGGGGAAGGTAACGGAAAAAACTGACACAGTGACAATCCGATGCTGGCGAATAACATGCGTATCACAGGTCGTAGAAAGACCAGACATTTAACAGGAAGATGATGCGTGCAAGGAAATCCGGGCAAACGGAATGCGTTTGCCCGGACTACACTGGATAAGCTAAGCATGTGTAGAACTTCTTTGATCGGTGATGCAGCTTCATTAGTATCAACATAAGGTCGACAGAAGTCATCACAACATTCTCAGCACTCTCAATTGTGACAAGCGACTCAGGAGGATCAACGCGTGACAGGACTAGTTCACAGAAAATCAAATCGACGGAGCAAACATACCTGTTGACAAAGTTGATGAAGGCAAATCCTCGACTCAATCCAGTGTCACGGTCAAACGCAACATAGATACGAGAAATCGAACCAAACGGCCTGAAAAGCTCTTGCAAATCTTGCTCTCTGGTATCCTCTGATAAGTTGGTAACTCTGATAGAGTTGTCATCTCTTCCTTTGCGCATGCTCTCTCCGTCTCCTTTGGAACCCATACGCATGCTAGGTGGTACGTATGAAGCCTTGCCTCCAGGACCAGAAGACGAAGACATGCCCATATCATCATCACCTGGGGGCTTCTCTCCTCCGATGTTGAACCCTCGGTTAGCTGCGAGTTCCTTGAAAGGACATTTCGAGGTCCAGTGATCTCCCTTCTTGCCGCAAGTTCTACAAACAATAAGAGACGCATTTCCGAGTGACGCAAGATCAGCACCCTTCTCCTCCTGCTTTGCACCCTGTTGACCCACAGGTCGAAACCTCTCCAGAAAGATTTCCTCGGTAGACACGACAGTCAAGTTCTCGGAGGAATTCTGACCGACGGCATCCCCAAACTTCTTCAGGCTACGTCTCCGAATAACAGCAGGGTTCAACCTCTTGACCTGCTTCTTCACCCTGACGGTGGTAGTGACCTTCACCTTCGACCCATCCTCTTTCTTCCTCCACTCAATGATAATCTTCACACCCTTCTCATCGGGCCCCATCACCTGCATGGGCGGCAAAACGCCCTCAATCCCCTCATCTTCGTCGGCCGCATCTCCCCAGCGCATCGGCCCCATCCTCGCTCGCTCCCTGCTCGCGATTCAAACCAAATCCTGCCCCTGCGATCGATCCACGCAAACACGAACACACGAACGAGGCTTCTTCGACTCGACCACAATAATCAGCGTCCTCCTCGCGGAGCTCGGTCGATGCAGCAGCAGCAGCACAGTGCGCGGGAATTCGAGGAAGGTTCGAGAAGCACGGGCGTGCGTGCGAAGCGAGAGCGCGAAGACTGGAACTAACCCTAAGGCGGGGGCCATGTCCAGAACCCTATCCCCAGAGTGGCCTCGGACATGTAACCCTAACTGGGACCTCCTCGGTCGCCCTTAGGGTTTTAGGAACAGGCGAATCCCCTCCCTCCCTTCCCGTAAGGCAATGAAGGCGCGAGTGTGTCGGAACAGTGAGGAGGATCTGCAGGGAGCGAGGCGGATTTGAGGTCCAGTGCTTGATTGCATCGCAGGGAGCGAGCTCCGGAATCGGTGTGCGCTTCGGAGGACGAGCTGCGAGAAACGGAGGATACCGAGTTGAAAAACCTCGAGTAAAAAACCTTCACGCGGTTTTTCAGAAAGAATTTAGGACAGTTCGTGTGCGCGTGTTTGCGCAGGAGATGGTTTGAGTGGTCGATCTTTGGAGAACAGGGAAGAAGGTTGAGTTTTTGACAAGGTGGACGTGGTGGTATTAGGCGTTCGCGGTGGTGAGCCGGATCGATCTCTGCGATTTTTTATACAGGTTGTGCTCAGGTCCCCGTGAAGACGTCGTGGGTTTAGTCACACTCTACTTGTGACTGGAGTGAGTACGAGAGGCAGAGAGGAGGACAGCAGGACTGCAGGACAGAGGACGACGCGGTTTACTTGGTGGTGAAGAATTGAAGCGAATTTCTTTGAGGAGGGATTTAAAGGTCATTTAGAAATGTGGGACAACCGGAAGTGGACAGGGATTCGGACCAGGAGTTTTGATCGATGACGAAGAAGGAAGCGAGGAATCTTTGCCACTGTTGTAGAGTGGCTTAAGAATTTAGCATCGGAGTTGTTCGTTTAGTCCCTGCTGGATTGCTTCTCAAGGTGCGGGTATGGTCGGTATCGGGAGGAACCCCTTAACAATGGGGATGGATGTGACAGCTGACGCTGTGCAATTGGGAGCTATCACCGATGATGAAGTTCTTTCTGTTGCCCGGCAGTGGGTAGTGCGTGCCCTGTCAGCTGCTACACAGGTAACCATTGTGCATGTTACCAGTTTGCCACAAATTATTTTGTCCAGCGAGAGAGCCTGGCATGTAATGGACAGCGTGTAATCACATCCACCTCAGCTGAAAGCTGACTCGCACCCATTTTCGTATGTGAGCCCTCTTCCTTAATGACGTACCTTCGTAGCCAGGGAGGCAATATGGGCGTCACAGAGGAAAATAAGTTGTCATCGCTCTCTAATAGCTCTGCAGGGCGAGCGATACCAGACCAACCGTTTGTCCCGGAACTGAGGACTTCATCGCGTGCAGTGGATGGAATGAGTCGATTTGTTCGAAGATTTCATCACCTCAAATGATATGACTTAGAGATCAATAAACAATAATCTTATTTCACCATTCGAGAGCTGAGAGTTTGAGGCGCACCGCGCAAGTCTGAACACTCTTGTGCAGCTGATCTCTCATCTGTAGGCAGCAGCTTAGCAGCCTCAGGTGGAGGTCTGATCTGCTTGTCACGCACAGTCAACAATCATGTGATGATTCTTCGGTCACAGTTGAAGTTGCGTTATTTTGCGGAAAGACGCTCGCCGCCGTTAGACAATTATTCACACGCGTTTCAAGAACTTGCTCTTGGCGTAGACTGGCAACCTTATCACGGGTCTTTACAAATTGGTCATGGAACATCCATCTTGTAAAGACTCGCGAATTTGAATCGTCCCAGATCACCACCGTCATCATGATTTGGAAATATTGTGACGAAGCACGATAACTAGAGCCATGACTGCGTCACAGTAGATTCTGTCACATATCTATTGTGCAATCACTGTCTTCAATTTGGAACGACGATGAGTTGCTGGGTCCTCGACTTGTATAATCGATGTAGAGAACGTACTTGGGAATTCCTTGTGACGGAGGTGATGTGGATTGAATAGGTGGACTGTAGCGGTGGGAATGAGCATGTCCTTGCGACAAGAACTTGCGATTGCGTGCTCACTACCCGAGTTTAGGCCCGTAGTTTGCCTGGTGCCCACGCGGGTGCCTCACTGGTGGCTATAGGAAGGCAGACTGGTGACTGTGTTGAGGATTTTGTAAACTTTCACAATATTGCCAATTTGGTGCCTTGAATGGCGATCTGCGTCGGTATGGAAATGCGGACTGAAATCACGTTGATTGGAAGTCCTGCTGGTTCTGTTGAAATCTCAACAGAACCAGCAAGATTGTATTGTATTCAGTGAACATGGCTATTTTTTCCTCACTGTGTGTAAGACATCTTTCTCATTGCCATGGCGTGATAGTCTGGTTTCGCTAAGCCCGGAATTTGCTCACCAGTGTCGTCTTCCCTCGTGCGATGTTTCAGTCGCCCTTATTTGTTCACGACAAAGACGAGCCACGTACACTTTTCTGCGTGTCGCTTCTTGTCGTGTGAAGTATTCATCGGCATGTTTTGCCTTGCGCAGGGCGATCAGGGTCATTATCTAAACCTTCTTAAGTCGCTGCGGACCGTACAGTTGGACGACTCCGGCAGTCTTTCCGCGTTGCAGGTCTGTAAAGGATGTTGACCACTAGACTTTCGTTGCTGTGCCATCATGAATTTCATGAACTGCAGGCTTTGAACCTACGTCCGTTTGATTGCCCATGTACACATCGCAAGTTACCTTCGATTTTTCAGAGTCTGAAGCTTTTCCTTTGTTTGCAGTACCGGCTAAGGGCTCTTTCGCAGAGCGTCTCTTACATCAGCGAGCACTATCATCATACCCTCCTTGCTCTCGTAAGTCAACAATGCATTGGTCTTGAATTTTTAGGCAATTGACGTATGTTTACCCGGAACGAGGTTATATGGATTTTTTCTTAACATCTCTTATTGTGTTGTACACGCTCATAACGTGAGCAGCTTGTGTACTTGCAACAAGCTCAATTGGTTTTCCGCTTCGGCCATCGTTTTCTCACTGCCCTTTCCTCCTGTAGGTGCTAGGTATGAGTGTTTGGACTTACGGTCCAGATGTCGCGGACGCCCTCTTGGAATTCGTTGTCAATCTGGTATGGTTCTCCCCTACTTACACAAGGAGTGAAATACCAACCTCGATGATCTGCATGTCAAGTGTCGCATTGAGAGATTCTAGGGAATATATGCTCTGTTATTTCCATGTCAACCAGATTGTGACTGCAAAGCTCTATCTGATTGATGTTTTTCCCCTGCTTTTCAGGCGACTGCCAATGGCGGTTGTGTCAGTCAGTGTCTGGACATGCTCGTGCGCAATTTCTTGCCGCCTTCTTGTGGTCTTCCGGCCTTTTTGGATACATACAGCAGAACTGGGTTGATGGGTGGATGGTTATCCATGGATAAGATCCGCGCTCAACAACCTGATCAGATGGCCAAGAAAGATGTTGTTCTGAACCAATTACATGCTGCTATCAGACACCTTGCAGACCTGGTTCCAACTGCACCCATGAGATTGCAACCGATTGTGCTGCAAAAGATGCCTCATAGAACTCTCCCAAAGCAGGTTGGTCGCTTGTGTTCCGGTTAATTGTTGCACATGATGTATGATATATGTTGCCATGATAAGGCAGCCTTAGCCTCGTTTACTCTATCGAGTGCCGGTTGAGCTTTTCCAGGCAGTGTGCAGACGCTCAAGAGCGTTGCTATTTGTAATCCCAACCCGCGTGATTCTGGATAGAATGCGATGCACCTTGCTACACGCTCATGAGCTGCGTGATTGGAGAACTGAGCTTGCTGTCATTTTGTTGTTAATGTTATCACGTTATTGTTACGGCCCTGAACCTGTTTCGTTGTTCTCCTTCTGTCTACATGGGGGGATGGATTTTCAAATTTATATCACAGATTTCACTAACAGTATGTCAATGAATGGCAGTGGAACGTTCTGTATCTCGAGAACATGTTACGCTTGGAGAGCAGTGGGGGCAAGTACATATCAAACCAGATGTTGCCTGCCGTTGTAGACCAGCTCATCCAGATTGATGTAAGTATCGTGGATCAGTTTCTACTAGAATTACCTTTGAAATGTTTATCAGCTTCTGGCACTGATCGAATCCTTGATCACATCCTTCTGAAGCGTTTCTTGTCATCGCTCGATTTCACTTTGTTCAACTATTGTTCATCTGTTTGAACAGGTTGAAATTAGATGGGAGGACATCTTAACAGATGATGAGACGAGCAAAGTCTACATGTTTCACATGGATATCGAAGATGAAGCCGATGAAAGGCTGAATGATGATAGGGAGGCTGATGAGAATGAGAATGGCGATCCAGCTGGCCCTGGAATCGAGGTAAACATCTTGATCTCTTCTTTTTGCCAAGACCGTGGTCGTTTTGCCTACGTGGATTCTGCTTTTTAAAACAGCGACGAGACTGATCTCTCGTGTTCATGCTCAATACTGGCAGGCAAAGCTACAGTACGGGCTTATGACAAGGCCTTCGAAAGGTGCTGTTCCCACCTTGGACGAAATGGCAGACAAAATGGACCTGATGATGGACATGACTTTCCAGCACCTTCAAAGTTGTGTTGGTAGAGGTCTATCCACTCAGGTTGGTTTCAACATCTTTGTTCACGTTTTACTTTCTTTATTGATTTTCCTTTTTTACGGAGCTTTGTCTCATCAATTCTCCTCATATTTGTTGTTTCTTCGGCAATGTTCTCCCCTTTAAAGGGTCGGTGGATGTCACCAACTTTCTCACCAATTAGTCAGTGTTCTTTAGCTGTTCTAATTGTTGCAATTATTATCTCAATCACACGTCCTTTTGTCTTCTTCAGGTCTTTGACATTCTTTTGAAGTCTTTTCAATCAACAGTGCTCAATACGTATAAATCGAAGTTCACTCAGGTAAGACCATCTCACCATCATCTGACCTTCACACATTTGCCAAGTCTCCGGCCAGATTTGGTAGGCCCAAATTTGTTGGGCACCACTTAGTTCTCTAATTCCTACAATCCGCACGGTCTTTGACATATTGCCGGTATTAATGCCAACCTTATTTTCATGGAGGAAGTAAATTTGGGTTCTTTCTGGGGCTGAGTTGCATCTTCAAGCTCGATATATATACGCTTGTATCCCCTCTCGGATGGGCTCTGAAGTGTGAGGTTCTGGGTATCATCATCCTACAATGAAGGCAGGGGTCATATTTGCTAAGAGTTTCAGAAGTGGCATGCTAGGTATCGCAAGGGAAAGGAAATATTGTCCTTGATGAAACTCTCTCAAATATGACATTCCTTCCGACATTCAGTCAAAGCCATCAACTTCTGTGATCCTATTTGGATGCAGCTGTCTGAAGCAACCTGAGAACCGCTCGTGTAGCAGACTTGTTCCACGACTGTTGGAAGATTCAGAGACGGCTCGACCACCTGTATAATAGAGCTTTGGAGACTGGAAAGAGCCCGGAAGTAAATTTGCTTCCTCTCCTTCCTGCCGTTAAGGTGCATGCCACGTGCAATGAATCGACCCATCCACGTTTTACAATGCAGTGCTGAAAGTACCATTCTTTGGTTTGAGAAGCTTGCTTCTGGGTGGAGTTCAATATGATCCACCCTGGCATACTCTTTCATCTTATGACCCAGAAACCCAGAGTGACTGTCAAGTTAGAGAGAAGTGTTATGGAATCACCGTACCGTCTTGCGCTCTTGGACCCTCAGCGTTGCCTTCAGTAAGCAACGTGACAAAGTGGTGTGAGCTTTTTTTTCCTGCACTGTGCCACAAATGATTCCCTACTAACGTACTTTTAATGCTCCTCTTTGTCTTTGCAGTTTTTACTGTTTTATCTGTGTGCTCTGGAACCTTCCACCTGCGGTAGCCGGTTTGCGTCGTTATTGTGTGACATTTTCACGTCCAAATCCAGACCCGCTAACACAAGGTCAGCTTCAGAGAGTACTCTAAACTTTCTTTATACCTCTCACTGTGCTGCACTTCTGTTATTGGACGTTAGCAAGTGTTTGCCGTTAGTTAGTGTTTCACTATGGTTGCTTTGTTTTCAGGATGTCTGCTGCCGCTTATCTCGCAAGCTATCTAGCACGTGCAAAGTACATTCCCGTGGACGTCATCTGGACTTCACTAAAAAGGTATAATTTAAAATGATCACGGACGTCTCGCACCTCTTCTTTAACAGGATAGTCATCCTTGTCGTTTGCTCTCAGACAAGTTTCAATATGGGCATGAGCCGTATCGCTGGACTTCAAATGCATGAATACTGTATCCTGGCTGTGGATTGACAACATGCTTCTCGTTTATCTGCAGACTCGTCAGCTGGTGTGCAGCTTATGGAACGCACGACCTAGGTTCAAAACCGGCAGGAAACGTCCCAGATTCAGTGTTACATGGCGTGTTTTACTCAGGCTGCCAGGTGACTGCCCGATCTGAAAGGATTACCAAGTTATCATGGTCATTATGGAACATCTGTACCATATTTTACTTACCTGAAGTACTGAGACATCTTCCTCTTCCGCTCCCAGGCGGTCATGTATATTCTCTGTTTCAGACTGAAGATGCTCGTAGACGAACCGGAAGGAAAACGTCATCTCCGAGGTCTTTGTCTGCAGCAAGTAGTTGAGCATCGCTTGAATCCTTTGAAGGTCCGCTCTTCAACCTATCATATGTGGTTAATCTGCCGGGAGCTACACTTCGTACTTACATGTCCATTCTAGAAATGTAGGAGCATTCAAATCGGTTTTTGGTGGAAATGAAGGCAAAGAGTTCGATTAGATTGTTTGATTGATAAATTGATTGGATCAAAGAATGACCACAGGTCTTTCTCTGATCTTATCAGTTTCTCTGTTGTCATTTTTATTTCCTGGAATACTTATTGTAATATTTGCACTCATTAGCATAACGGTCTACGCCAATGATATTCATTACCAGTGTTATGGATATCATGTGGTTGTGGACACATGCTACTTCAGTAATTTCGAACATGTCTAGAGAACGCGAAACCATCGAAACATGCAGCTCTTATCAGAGAACTGATTACGGGTTATGTGGATACAAACAGGTTTGTCTGCCATCAGTTGTGGAAGAGTTTTTGAGGCAATCGAGTACATTACAGTTAGTGGATCAAAGTCATTGGCTTGCTTCGAAAGAACGACTCGATGGAAATACTCGGTCTATGATTGTCGGAGACATGAGACTCGACATGTTTTTCCCCTTTGATCCCTATCTTCTTCGACACTCAGATAGGTGAGTCCCACATGAAACAGTGCGAGCAAGAGGAGTTTTCACCAGTTTGACAATGTTGACATTCAGTAAAGACTAGAATAAGTTTTGGACCTTGTTACTGTGCACAAAAGATGAAAATTAGTGGCATCGAAGAAGTTGGGTTCCAAGCCCAGCGCCAAAATATCGAAGTCCTTTCGTTGTAGTTTTGAAGACATTGAATTTGAAACTCGGCAGTATGTTCCATACTTCCAGAATGTGTGACACATAGAAAGTAACCATGCAGACGGTACTGAGACAAGGTGTCATCTTTTTGTAGAAAGTGACGGTTGGGTCTAGAGAATGGAGCGTAGATCAAAGATCTGCTTAGGAAATGTCTTTCAATTTATTTCAGTGGTCATCACAGTACGGTGATTTAACTTGGTTTTATATCTATCTTGGGGTGCAGGTTCATCAGACCGAATTTTACATACTGGTCGATGGTGGAACCTCTCGACGATATCGCCGTTTCGGATGTGGAAGATGACGACGCGGATTCAATTAGTGAAGTTTCATCGTACGGAGGATCTCAGTTGGATGAGGCTCAATCTTATGAGAACGCGGATGTCACAGACGATGACGCTAAAGAGAATCATCGCCCCGCTGTAAGTAGGCAAATTTTTGATAATTCCCTCAACAGACAGACACAAGTAGGTAGTTTGGAAGCTGCTAGTCCTTTTAGCGAGGATGGCTTAGTAGACGCATTCAAACACTCATTTGATGCTATGGCTATCACTCCGCCACATCCTGAGATGATGATGCCTGCCAAGTTGACAGGCCGAATTTCACTAAATCCGGCCTTCAGGATCTAAATATCCTCTTTCACCCACCTTTCAGTGGGAATTATGTTACATATAATTTATTACAGTGCCATTAAGAAAGATCATTTTTCTCTTTTCCCGCGATTTTCTGTGTCGTGTTTCTCTATACCAACATAAGTTGGTAGATCAGTAATTTCCACCTTGTACAAAACTCCTGACACCTGTATCTTGCGATCCCTTGAAGGAATGTGGTAGTTTGGAATGATTTGCAACCGAAAAATGACAAACTCTCCCAGGAGAACACGCGAAGTCCACGCAGGTAGATAATTTGCAAATCTCAACGATATACTCTATTATCGAGGAAAAGGGAGTACCCCATCTGAAATCACGGACTTCCTCATTCCATGGAAGCAGGAGTTATTCCTCTAGTCATAACGAGAAGCAGTAGATCTTTTCACAATGAACCTACTAATCAAGAGTGGAGTGAAGAAGTATAAGTGTTCTAATGTACTTTTTTAATTTACGTTTCTTGAGCATGAGAGATTCATGACTCTCCATCCCACACAAACTTCACTCTCTAATTGCAAAATTAGCATCCTTTTACAAGATTATCCATTAGTGACAGTCGCTTTTCGTTAGCGTCGTTCACTTCATAATCATGTTCTTCAAATCATCTGTCAACTTGAACTTACTTTTGGTACGGTCTACAAAAATTCACGTCTATTTGCCTCGTTGATGGCTGAGTTGACCATAGTGTACTAAATTTCACCCAGCTGGATTATTTCTTGAGCCCAGTCATAGTCGCTTTGGGTGCCTTAGGCTCTACTCAACCCACTGGGTCGGAGTTGTACTCTTGGACTTGAGGTCATCACTCAGATCCAGTCTTGTATCCATGAGGATCCTGAGCTCCATCGTATGGTCTTGGGTTCAGAACATCTTCCTCTCGTCGTTGGGTCGTGGTTGGACTTTCGGATTTCAGCTCGGTACTTATGTGATATAAGTACCGAGCTGAAATCTAGCTGAAATAGCTGAAATAAAAGTTATATCCAATGAGCAGATCCAATGTTCCACTGTAGATCGTGTCCATTGTTCGGCCCTTTGATGCAAACAATGGATCTATGGGTACTTAAATCTCTTTGATCCAACTTTGGTTCCAACAGTAATGTGCTCTTTTTGTCAGTCCCAAGATTAATTCTGATCCAGCCTCGGTCAAGAGGGTGCGCAATGACTTCTAATCATCAATGTACTTATATTCATTCTTATTTTCGCTTCACCTAGCCCCCTGCTCCTTTACCCCTGGATCTATAAACAAACTCATTTTGTGGCTCGCTTGACTTGAGTCACCCATCTTGCCATACCTTCCGAAATGAAAGGGCAAAAGACTTATATTTGATGGCGATGGAAGCACAACTTCTGGAATTCACTTAACAAGGAAGAATATCTGAGAAATACAAAAGAGTTGAGTTGAGTTGTCCTAAATTCCAAGGTACGTTAAGACTTAAATTTCTTCAGTCTAGAATAGAAAGTGGAAGCTTATAGAATAACATCTTAGATATATCAAAGCTTAGGTTTTGTACATGGTTTATTCAAATACTAAGAGTCTTGTTTCAGAACCTTTCACTAATCGCAATATTTAGTAAGCTTCTATAACATGTATGAAAGTTTCTATAAACAAACACAGTTTCACAATCATAACGAACTAAAATTTTGTTTACAAGTCCAACATTTATAAAGGTTTAAGGTTGAATGACTCAACAAAGATTTTAATTACATCTTCATTTCTTGCACTCCAGATACAATTAGACTTATTCAATTCTTAATTTGTTTTAATATCCTTAAATGTCATATATCAATGATCATGAGCCAGCCCTTATATATATATATATATAGAAATAATCATAACGTGCATACTTTTATAGAAATAATCATTCTTACAAGCTTGAAAAATTTGAAATATAAACTTAGATAAATTTTTAATCAATTATGTTTCAAATCAATTAAATATGTATGTTTCAAATAATTTTTATTCATTCATCATCCAATCATTGATTAAATTTGAATTTAAGTACTTTTATTCCCTCAACTATTAGTTTTAATTTACTTATGATTTGATTAAAAAAAAATTAGTCTTCACAACAAAATCGAATTTTTTGTTTTCTGTTTTATATTATTTTATATATGATCAATAAAGTATAAATTTAAGTATTATCACTTAAAAAGCCAATGAAAATTATATATATATATATATATATAATATCAAAATCTATATCTAAATATGCCCGTCTTCAGCTCTGCAGGAAGGTTTAGTTGTGATTCATAAAATTTCAAATAATTTTGAATATCAGTAAAAAGATCATGTTTCAAAAATTCATCACAAAAACATGTAATTAAATGTAATGCGATGTTTCTTATGTAGATCCGACTTTTTTCAATGCCCATGTCTCACACATTTCAATTGCATTTGTTGCCATTTCAGGACATATCACCACTGATTGACAAGTGACATTTCTTGCACTAAAGTCAATACACATCATTTTTGTGACATTGTCGTGTTTGATTAGTTTCTCCTTTTTTTAAGTGATTGATGTGCATGAATTGTGCCAACACGCATGATACGTCACATGTTTAATAATATTTTCAATCTAAAAAAATGGGCATTGAAAATTTTTTTTCAATCCCCAAAAAATGTATCTTTGCAATTTCAAATCACAAAGAAGTTAGAAAAATATGGAGTCATCATTCAAAAAACACTTCATATCTGTTGAGATAGTGCATCAAAATTTGTTCTCTTTGTTTATCTTTTGGCAATGGAGATTGGATCCTTTATTTTAAGGGATGCTCTTTAGCCTACTCTTGTGTTTTTGTAAATACTGCCGGTCTGGGATGCACAGTTCCGGATCATGTAATACTAAATAACGCGAAAACAATTATATATAATACATACATAACACTCGTACAATATGCCCAGGGTTCAGTTTGTGCTTGGGGGGCCCAAAGTAGATAGCAAAAGGGATCGGAAAACTAGCCGGCCAAGATAAACGAGGGCTAGGCCCAATAAGTATCGCATTGGAAAATATATTTGGTTCAGAGATCTAAAATATTTGAGATTACCACTTAAAGTGTGTACACATAAAAGAATAAATATAAGATAATATTTTTTGGGAAATGAGGGCTAGCCCATTAAGTATCGCATTGGTATATATATTATAGTTTAGAGATCTAAAATATTTGAGATTATCTCTTTAAGTCTGTATACATAAAAGAATAAATATAAGATAATATATTTTGGGAAATGAGGGCTAGCCCATTAAGTATCGCATTGGTATATATATTATAGTTCAAATATCTAAAAAAATTTGAGATTACCTCTTTAAGTCTGTAAACATAAAAGAATGAATACAAGATAACATATATTGGGATATGAGGGCTAGCCCAATGAAAACAAAATCGGTCAATATGATTTTCCATAATCTAAGTGATCTAGAAATTCCACTTCCTTGTTGTAAACAAAAAAGAAAAAGTAAATGAAATGAAATGAAAATTTAATGGAATAAGGTTTCGGAGTGCATTCGAGGGTTCGTGGAAAGCAGGCCCAGAGAGCGTGACGTCTTCCTGGCGCCGCTCCTGAAACCGGGAAGCTGCAGGGGAACGAGAACGAGAGCGCGAGGGGGGCCTAGAAGCCGCCGTGGCACAGCGGCACACTTGGATCGAAGCGTAGCGTTGCTGCTGGAGCCGTGGGCTTGCGGAGGCATGGAGGAAATTGCGGTGCGCAGGACGAGATCGTCGTGAGAGGGATTGATTCAAGAGCTTCGGCTGTTGGTTGGTCGTGGAGGCAGTCGAGGAGCACGGTGGATCGAGCGAGCGCGAGAGAGGGAGCGGAGAATCCGAAGATGGCTTGGGCGGGGGCCAAGAGATGGACCCTGAAGAATTCGAGCTTCCGGAGCCGCCAGAATGTGAGAAATTTGAACTACGCTGCCGGCAACGCCACGAAGGCGGCGCATCCTTCCGAGGCCGCTGGCAGGAAACGCCACAGTGAAGGTGAGCTGTCTCAGCTGCTGCTCCGTCGAGAGATTGCTTGATTGCTGAGCTGCTGCAGCTGCAGCTGCTTCTGATTCTGCCTTCTCAGATGGATTTTTTCGAATTTTCGCAACCCGTACTCCTTCAAAGCTCGATACGTTCGAAAAAATCCTCGGACGTGTAAGAGTGCTCTAAGATGACGAGCAATTATGTGCACTGTCTGTGGCTTGGAGTATAGTAGAGTCGTGTAGTATGGGTTTAAACGTGACAAAGGGTGAGGAAAATAACGCTCTCGTTGAGATGCCTTGCTAGTGACGGAAGATGGTGGAAGACGTGTTACTGGAAACGTGAGATTTTGAAGACCTGACTCGTATGGAGCTGACAGTGGATGATCCGAGATCTTTTCGTATTGACCTCCTGAGATGTAGATTCCAGGGCCTGTATGCTCGACGCAGAAATTTGATGAACTCCCTCTGTCCTGTAAGGATTGGCCGATTGAAGACACGTTCAATCGAACACTTTACTTGTGACTTAGAGTTGCGATCGATGGTGTCTGCAATTTTTGCCAATTCAGCTGAGCTGAGCTGAGCCGAATCTCCACTGTTAGTTATCAAGGAAGATTTCAATGAGCATTTGGCCGTATCGTTGTGGCCTTATCTTGTGAAGCGGATTTGAGGCTCGGTGAATTGACGAAGACGGGACTTGCATTTCGGATGTTGTTTAAGCTTTAGTTTGAAGACGCTGAATGGCTCTTTTGGTAGATAGAATCACCTCCGATCAAAGCCAACTTTGTTGCTTTGATATTATGTATTGCGAAGCTCTTTGTGCTGGAATGGGGTGAGTGTGTATAATGTGAGAGCCGATGAGTTCTTCAAACTTTCACAGGGAGATCTGTCGTCTGTATGCAAGGTTTAGGGTTCTAGACCTGTTAGTTTAATTTTGTAATGACGGTAGCCTGAGCAAACCAGGGCGCAAAGGATGGAGATTGGTATGCTTGCACTGGATCTGTAAGCAGGCCGGATCAAAACTGTCGAATCAAATGACAGTCCTATTATTGTGCACTATTAATTTCAATGCTGTGCCCCGTGCAGGGAGCAACTTATATCTGCCTGGCGCTACCGTCGCCACGTTGATGATGCTGGGAGCTTTGCACATACGCCGCATGTATGAGGAGAAACAGGTATAAGTTAACCCCAACTCATTTTTTTCGTTCAAAAGGTTGAAATGGCGTCCGCCTACATCCTCAGCCAGCTTTTTTAAATTATTATTTTAAAGAGAATTCTCGCCAGTCATCCGTTAAACACAGACTCATCATGATTCTCCCGTAACATCTACTTGAGCAACACAGATGGGATATTCGCTGGTTTTAGATAACTGTTTTTACAAACTTGCCTGTTGAAGGATTTTTTTTTTGTACATGAAGGTTGACGAAGCCAGGCGCCAAGGCAGAGAACCTGAGTTTGTTGCTGACTGGAAGGTGAGGTGTATGTTGTTAACACCTTGAAAAAAGCTGCATTTAGTTCAGTGTTTTTGTGTTGGATGTGCATCGTCGAATTCTGCCAGCAGTAACACTGTCGGCTTTGGAATTTCACGCCTGCGAGATCGTGTTTGCAGGCCACTTTTCTTCAGATGCTTCCCTTGCGTTTCATTTCTAGGACATGGGGCTCTCTTACTTCTGTGGTATGTGACCTCCTCTTCGCACTTCAATTTACCCGGAAAAATCCTCCAAAGGAGGCTCGTTTTACATAAGGAATGCTTGTGACGCACTGCACATATGTAGATGAACATCAGGGTGTTCATGTCTTCGTTTCCCAGCTCTCTGCGGCTGATGTGGTTGCGGTAATCTAATGTTGACAGTCAGATTATGCATAATATGCTGAGATTCCTTCTCTCCTAATTGATTTTGTACTACATATTGAGAATCAACATTGCTTTGCCCCTTCTAGGAACTTCCTGTATGGCTACGTCCTCACGTCTATAATGGATGGGCACGCGCTTTTAATGCCAGTAAGTGTACTGTGAGCTATGAGATTAACCCCTTTTGTTGGGACATCAGAACTCTTATATAGTTTCTAGTGGTCAATTTTGTGTGTTTGTTTTCTCCATCGGTTTACACAGTTGGACTTGCATGAAGCTTGTATATTCAAAGAATTTGTCGGACATATTGGAATGAAAAATGGTTTTGACATCTCAGCTATAGGAGAAAGGACTGAGCAGTCGGTGTGGCATGTTCAGATCTTGATGAAGCATCACTACCTATTGAAGAGTATGTTTCTTTAAGAGATTTCTTCACCAGGACATTGAAGGAAGGGGCAAGACCCTTAGATCCCAGTACTACATGTCTGGTAACTGGTATACCACCCATCTCACCTAGTTTGTGATATACGAAGTCTGCCGAAATTTTTGGCTTCTAGAATTTTATAATGTATGGTCACTAAATGTCAGACGATGGTTCAATTGGGAGCTCACATACTTCTCTGTGTCGAGTGTCAAGACATTATTTTCTTTTGGGTTATTCATGAGAAGAAAAGATGATCACTTTTCAGACACAGCTTGCGTCTTTGGAGATAGACTATTTCGTGCGCTGAGAACGTCATTGAACAGAGCTCAGAGTTCTCGAGAACTTTTGGGCTCATATGACGCTTGTCTTCCACGAGGATACTGAAATAATTCAGAAACTATTTGTTTGTGGCATGTAACAGCTCAGCCCCGTGGATGGAGTTGTTCTGCAATGTGGACAAGTAACAGGAACGGGAACAATGATTGAGCAGGTTAAAGGTTTTTCATACTCTGTTTCGTCTCTTCTTGGAGCCAATCCCCACGTTTCATCATCATCATCATCACTACTGGAGGATGGACAGACAACTCAGAACCCTGATGAGTCAGAAGCAACATCTAGGAATCAAATTGAGTCAGCGACTGAGGCAGACTCGTTACGGGCGTCATCATCTCAACACATTCTTACAAGATCACCGTCGGAAACGTAAATACTTTCCTTCTCTTGCTGCTGTCCTGTAGTACAGAAACCTACAACAAGGGTTACTGGCTCTTGCCGAGCTATCTCGACAACGTGATGGATTATGATGAAGTCGTTTCGTTTATAACATTCTCTCCGTACTATGTTCAAGCTATTCTAGTATGGAGCCCCTGGACCGTTGGAATGTTTTCCGTGCTTTGTGCCCGTATGATGTGAAATTGCCTTTGACTATGGACGTAATTTGATTTGCAGAGGAAACAAGGGCCTGTTTTATTGCGTGCTGTACTTAGGGCCCGGTGACTACCATCGAATTCATTCACCTTCTGACTGGGATGTTTTCTACCGTCGCCATTTTTATGGTAATCATTCCACGATCGTCAGTCACAAAGAGTACATCACCAAATTCTTAGTCAAGTCTATTTTACATTTGCTTTGTAAAGCTAGGCCTTTCAAATTGATGAGTTGTAATCTGACTTGTTGTTTAAGAACTAATGGAAAGGCTTAACCTTCTTCTGGTGATTCTGGCAGGTCGTTTGTATCCGGTAAACGAACGTGCCGTAAGAACCATCAAAAACTTATATGTTCTTAATGAAAGGGTGAGTTTTAATAACGAATATTTAAATTTGGATGGGTTGTTGTTGTGCTTCGCTCAGTTTTACTAGATGCTGATTAAGACAAATTCAGGTTTTGCATTCATACGAACATTGTGCTACTAAAGTTATCAATTGTAATTTTGAAGTGCTACTGGGTTGCTGTAGTTTTCATTCCTCATCGAGAACCACTCTTTACTTCATTTATCATTTTATTATCTCTGACCCAATTTTCTTTAACCAGGTGGTATTAGAAGGTAGATGGTCGCAGGGCTTCATGGCTATGGCAGCTGTTGGCGCAACCAATGTCGGCTCAATAGAGGTCTGACCCGTCTTGTATGACCTTGATTTTGTCGCTTGTTTTTTAGATCACATTGAACATGTGAATCGTTTCGGAACTATCATGATAAATCGTGTAAGTTTCTGACAAAGGCATCTCAATTTTGCAGTTGAAGTTTGAACCTGAGCTGAAAACAAATATTCCAAAAGTAGGATTATCTCTGGCCACCATAAACTCACGCAGTTATGGACAAAATGGTCTTAATGTGAAAGCAGGGGAAGAGGTATGCTTGCAAACTATCCTATTTTCAAACACAGTTCTGTCCTCTCAATGACCTGAGAATTTTGCCAGACGTCTGTTCTTATATCAGTGCCGAATGAACCTGGTCTCTCATCTGTTCTGACCTTCTACTTGATTCATGTGTTGTGTACAGGTGGCAGTTTTTAACCTTGGATCCACTGTGGTTCTTGTGTTTGAAGCACCTTCAGTAGAGACAGAAGATTTATCAGCTCATGAAAAATCCCGGCCTGAGAGTAGAAATTTTAGATTCACAGTAGCGAATGGAGAGAGAATAAAGATGGGGCAAGCACTAGGAGACTGGTAGTACTTTTCACCTTGGAAGATGGTCTGTTTTATCGTCAAAATCATTCATATAAGCAATGCAATCGCTTTGTGTCAGTTAATGACACGAGAAGAGTATTTTATTGCTATCCACTGCAGAAATTCACCACTATCAACTTCCTCCAAAATGCGCACTTGTACTTGAATAATCTTTTCCAGAATTTTTTACTCGTTTAGGCTTTGGTCACCACGGTGTGATGGAAGGAGGTTCGCGGCTGCATACAATCTACTCTGAATCGCATGTATGGGTTAAGGCAGACCTCCTTAATAGTGGCATTTGCAAATTTTGCCACCTTTTCGTTGATTGTGGCGTCCAACATTTCTGAAAAGTGGCATTTGTATTGACAAACTGATGTGACAGTCTTGAAACGATAAGAGATTGAGCTTATTTCACGAGAACGCCAGGCAGGGTGGTTACTCTGTTTTGGTTAACTTAGGTTCCGCCCTCATGATATTCATCGGACAGCTAAAGCCATGAATTTAGAAGATTCCCATGAACGGGCCGCATGATTGTTCACGGTGAGGATGCTCAGAGCACAGAGTTAGAAATGAATTAGAAGTCCGTGATCCAAACGATGAGGATACGAAGCTTCAACTGAATAGTGACAACTTCCAAAATCCAGGAGACGTGAACTGTAGTCCTCCTCATCCGAAGATGAATAATATCACCTGTCTTCAATCCTAGGGGTAGGGGTCGGCTCGCCTCGTCACTAACGGCTCCTCAGAAAAGGGGGAACCCGAGCTCTGCCCGCAGCCCGACTAGCGAGGGCCGCCTCCCGACCCCTCCCCCGCAGCCCGACTAGGGATGGTCGCCTCTCGACCCCTAAACCAGGGGTCGAGAGGCGAGGTTTAGGGGTCCGGGTAACCCTTAGTGGCTAAGGTAGGGAGGAGCAAATTTTATTTTTTGCAAAAATTGTGACCGTGAGATTTTTGTGAAGTTAAGTTTATGATTTGATTTTTCTCATTGATTTTGTTATCACTTTATATTTTTAATTTTATGAAATCTTTCATTACGCGTTCTCTTGTGATTCTCCATCATGTTAATACAAGAATGTAAATTTACTTAAATATAAAAATTGAAAAAAAATAATTTCTTTAGAAACTAAAGCTTTAGAAAGAAAAGAATCTAGTTTTTTTGTGTGAAAAAGAGTGGAAGCCACAAACATGCTACTCCATTTCTCCTCCCCTTTGGAAAGGGGAGAAAAAAAATACGGAGTACAAGTTCCTGCGGGGAAGGGAGGCCGCGAGGGAAAGAGCCCGATGTTGAGCGGGAGTGGGGCGAGCTAAAGCGGGAAGGCCTCCATGGTCGAAGCGGGAGGTCGGGCTAGGGGGAGGGGGTCGGGATGCGGCCCGGGCGGCAGAGCTCGCGTTCCCACTTTTCTGAGGAGCCCTTAGTGACGAGGGTCGGCCCGGCTTCGAGCGGGTTTCAGACCGGCTCGGCTACGACTTAGTCGAGCCGGCTTCTTTACAAGCGATATACCGCTAATGGATCACAGGTCACCATGGTATCGATCACGCAAAGAAATTGGCTCACAGTAAAATTTCTCTATATCTTCGTCTCATAGGCAGAATAGTTAAGTGGATCTTTCACCTGGTAACCAATTGTTATTGTTGTTAAGAAAAGATGTTACATCATTTTGCAGTAGTGACTCACTAGGGGTCGGCTCGGCTCCGGCGGAGCCGGCTTCGAGCCGGCTTCTGTCATGGCGATCGGCTCCGAGCTGAGCCGGCTCCATGTACTAGCGGCTCCAGCCGAGCCGGGCCGACCGCTACCTAGGGGAGAAACTCGGTTTCATACCCAGAATATTCTGGCATTAGAATTGTAAAAAACTTTCGCCATATATGTAATTCTGTTTTCTTTCGTAAATTAGATCCATCAGATGATCATGCGTTACTTGGATTTCTGTACACAATCGCTCAGAAACACTAAACACGGGCTCAAAGGCTTAATTGTGACATCGGCCCAAATTTAATTGAGGCAAAAGTGACACTTTTTAAGAAAATGCCACTTTTCAGGAGGTCTGGTGCGATTCAGAAGCGTTTCAACATCTTTGAGTGCGAGTAGGTGAACTCTCTTTATGCTGAACTGCACTGCCCGATCGTTTCAATGGCACCAACCACGCAAGAGGGTTGCGAGTGGAAGAGACGAGGAGCTTGTTGAATGGTGACTCGTGTAGAGGCAATTATCTAAGCACCCATTCATTCAGAGCGTTGTTTCCTGCAAGCTTCCGACTGAGGCCATTGCGTGGAAGAGAGAACACATCGGCGTTTGTGCGTCGACGCCCACCGGCTGTTGCCGGTCGCTGCTTGGTCGACGACGCTCTCTTCTTCCATTGCAGAGCTAATCCGACGGAATCAGCTCGTGGAGTTCTGCCGAACGTTGGAAAGTGAGAACCTCCCATTGGTCACCAGAAGGTACACAATCACGGCGAGGTTGACGAAGCTCCTGATATAAATTTCTGCCTTCCACACAAACAAATATTTATAATCTCTCATGTGTCTCATGTGTTACTGAGGATGAAAAGTCGGAGTAACGGCATCAATTTCTTTCAGTATATAAATGGATTGTATAATGTATGTGTAATAAAATAATCTATTTATAATGAGGATCAAACATTTCATTGTCAATGCAGTTTGTGTACAAACTTTTAAGCTTTAAACTTTTGTTCCCCGTTTGGACGGTTAAATTAGTTATTTTGAACATGTTTTGGCCTATAATTCCTTGAAACTATTGGGAGGGCTTAACATTGGTGCAGACCGGTAATAAGCATCTCATTCATTGCAGCTGATGAAACGCCAAGGATCATCTGAGGACATTCACCTGCGCAGAAAATGTCTTCCGTAGACCCTCATCATGCCTCCCAAATTCAACCCGGCCTTCCAATGATCTAATTGTACTTTTAAGTTACAATAGAAACAACTCGGAAAATTGATAACTCATCCTTTCTTTGTAATTCATCATTTCCAGCCAAAGTTGCAATCTGATTATTGAAAAATCTATCTACACCTCAAAACTTCAATTGCACAAGAAGTTGCTCAGCTGTCTCGTCTACCACTCTCACTCTTTCATACTCTTCTCTGTTCTTGCTAAACCTGTGTCTGTTTTCCATGATCCCAAAGGACTTTCAACTTCAATTGCACAATTGTTCGCAACGCAAACGAAGTATCTTTCATATTTCCTAGGGAAATAAAATTGCGAAAAATTGTGCATTTTGGGAGTTTTGAGTTGAGAATGAAATTATCAAGAATCAGATTGCAACTTTGGCTCGATACAAAAAATTGATGTTTTACCTGTCCACTAAATAGACACACAAGAGGCATAATGCATAAAAGGTGACCACTAAATGGACGCCTATTATGCACACTTCTTTTGAAAAAATGCACAATTTTTCGCAATTTTATTTCCCTAGGAAATATGAAAGATACTTCGAAGTCTTACCTTAACCTTAAGACTTAAGGATAAATAGGAAACTTAAGTTAGGGAGGATATGACAAATACTCAAGATTCCTTTACAACCAGTAGACGTTGGGAGACAGCTCATACCAAATCCGACCACTCACTTCGAGTCAAGAATTCCGTCATGCCACTATCCGAGATTAGAAATATAAACTAAATTAAATTATTATATGTTATCTTTCTCAAATTTAGAATATCTTGAAGACCTATGGCTATCTGGAAGCTCCAAATATTCTCCAAGATGATACGATCTTCCATCTTTCTCGCGGAATGATACTCGGAGTTAGCTCTTCAATCTTCCTTCAACATCCTACGGACTGGCTCTGAACTGCGAGCAAACAAAGAACATCGAACTCAGCAGCGTCATAACTCTTCATTCATACCCACATGGTGAATAATTTCTTCCTGAGACCCATACGCTGCAATCCAGAGGAACAAGCATCAAGACAGCAGTCACGTTGTGCTTAAGAGGTGCTGGTAGAATTCACTTTGGCGATGTTAGGTGTTTGAGAGCATTCCGAAGAATCATTCTCAATTATCCATGAACATCGTACTTGTGGTAATATCTGCAATTCTGTTATTATTTTATTATACTCAATTATTTGTTATTGTTTTCCTACCCATCAACTTGATAGTACTCACCCATAACTGTAGCCGGACAGGATACTTCGTGATTCTAGGAGAGACGTGAAAAGCAATCTGGCACGCGGTTATGCTTTGACTATTGTGTAGCCGGACAGGATACTTCGTGATTCTACGAGACGTGAAAAGCAATCTGGCACGCGGTTATGCTCTTGAAAATTGTGTAGCCGGACAGGATACTGCGTGATACTTCTGTCCGCATCTTCAAAGCAAGAAAAAAGCACAACAGGCTTTGCCCACCGTGCTGACTACCCATGTGCCTCTCTGTTGTCAGACTGCATCAACTTGCTTTAATAGTCCACAGATTCCAGGAAAAAGCATTCAATGAAGATGACGATGGCGTGTATCAGCGCACTCATGCATTCACTCAATTATCACGTTCGCTTGCACAACAACGTCAAGATTTACTTTGACTTTCTAAGAAAACTTTCCAATCACACCGAGTATGGAGGACCACGGTTGTTGTGTTCGTATGTTGTCTTGACCTCGATCATCCACAATCTAAAGAGAAGATCTGATGATTAAGCTGCAAATTTCTACGCGCTACACTTCGGAGGGTCTGTCTTCCCCGTGGGTGTTGATGCAGCTAGATTCGCATTTTCTGCGTTCTCCCAGTCCAGCTAGATTCGCATTGTCCCCGTCCAATTAGACCTGGAGTTTTACACAAGGCAGAGTGCTTCACATCTTTAATATCTGCGATTCCATGCTTTCCATGACGTTCTGAGACCACATAGCTTCATCTTTGTTACGAACCAGTTTTTTGGATTTCAGATTCACCTGCAGAGCTTCGAGCTTGTGCACTCAGTTGGGTCACCAGTGCAAATCAACGATCTCTCTCCTTTCGACTTCACAATAGGTTTGAAGTCCCCTTTGCACACACTCTAGGATTTGCTTTGTATTCGAAATAGTTTTCATTTGCGTTCATGTTGATTCACAGTGCTTGTCTTGCCCTGCACTGAGTTCGAGCAGCCTCATTACTTCCAGTTTGCACAATCTCCCTGCGTTCGTTGTGATTGCTCTTGATTCGATTGTTTGCAGAGGTAAAATTAATCTTTGTGTATCTCCTCATGCAGAGTGCAAGAACTGTCATGTCCAGCAGTCTCATGCACACGAGTTGTGAAACTGCGACGGGAAATTAATGCTCTTCGGGTGACGGGAAGTTAGTGCTCTTCGGGTGAGCCTGTCCTTGGGATCGACGAGGAGGCCTCCTGTAGGCCAGGTGACATTTCGCTCTCGCATGCCAAGCAGCAAACGTTTCTTACTCTGTGCGAGTGGAGGAGAGATTGGAAGGTGCAGGTGCGTCCATAGTCAGTCACGCTGCTGAGACACGGGGAATGGACTCTGCAGACGAGGAACCGGAGCTTCCCTTCGCTGTCCAGGACCTTATATGGCGTCTGGAAGGAAAAGGCGAGCCTATGACGAGGCTTCCCTATTTACGACAGCCAGAATTGCGGGAGTACTTTCCGGAGCGGGCATCGCTCTCGACGATCACAGGGTGGCGAAGCAAAGTGCGCCTTCGAGTGCTGGAGGCAATCGGCAACTGCAACACTCTTACACACCTAGACGTGGACGATATTTTCCACGGAGATATATGGATGTTGACGGCAAGCGAGAGGGAGGTAGTTCTCAGAGGATTCATGTCTAGCACCGTTATAAAAGAGATACGCCTTTACTTTTCCTCACGTCGGGAAGTTGAGATGCCGATTTCAGATGAGGAAAGCTTTTGTTTACTGATAGGGAGAATTCTGAATTCCTCTAGCGTACAAGTATTGAAAATACAATTTTGCAAGTTGAGTGCCAGATCTTTCTTGAATCTCGCCTCAGGACTGCGAGGAAATTCCGATTCTAAACTCCAGTGTTTAGAGTTATTTGACGCGTGGGAGGACTCGAGTGCCGTGAAGCATGTGGCCGACATGATCAACAGTGCTCCTCGATTAGAAACGTTGACGTTAAGCAATATGGGAGCCATGGAGGAGGAGTACGTTGGAATCCTGTCCCAGGCTTTGATCGAGAGCACGTCATTGAAACAATTGTGGTTAGACCAGGTGGAGTGGGGAGCGGCCTTGTTGCTGAAAGCTTTGGCCGGAGATGATGGCAACCGATCCATTGAACGTCTTCGGCTGGAGAATATGTATAGACTCGGAGGCTCTTTAAGGGAAGTTCTTACCTCCAGCCCATCATTGAAGGAAGTGAGGTTATGGTGCGTAGAGATGAGTCCTGAGGAATGGCACCAGCTCGGCGAAGTCATACGTGACCAGGCTAGAGCAACATACTTTACCGTTCAGTTTCTTTCGTTTGAATGGTTTGAATGGGAGTCAATAGAAGCTCTTGCGTGTGCTGCTAGCTCCGAAGTCAAGGACCCCGTAGTGGAGCTTGCACTCAATCATCCAAATGAGGATAAGTTAATGTTATCAGTAAACCTATTAGGTAGGGTACTGCGCGGAGAAATCAAATCTCTGAAATCTTTCACTATATGGGCGGGATCGATGAAGGGTACATGGATCCCGCCCAACCAACCGGAAAGTATACTGTCGATGAATGGAAAAACTGGAGAAACTTCCGTCTTGAAGAGACTCGACTTATTGCTTGGAAGCAATGATCTTTGCAAGGTACTACTGAAGGACCTGTTTTTGTGCCTGCGAGGGAACACAAGTCTCATTCACTTGGATTTTACTAAATCTAAACTCGACGAAGAGACGTTTAGAGACCTGATGGAGCTACTCCAAGTAAACTTGACTCTCCGGGAAATAGATGTCTCATCCACCTCATGGGCAAGGGATGGAAAGGCTGCGCTGATTGATGAAGCAGTCAAGCAGAACCAGAAGCGAGCTGTCTACATGTCCGTATTCCGTGAAGCCAAATTAACTTTTGGAGATGCAAAAGCTGGTCGGCTCTTCATATGCGGCTCTCCTCTAGCAGGTAACTTGCTATGCAAGCTCTCAGGTTTTTGAACTAGCAATGTGAGGTTTTACTTTTCAGATTTAAGATAAAATTATGAAGTTTATTTATTTATCTAGATGGCATTGGATTTATGTGAAAAATAAAACAAAAATATAAGAAACAAAAAGTAAAATGCAAATGAATTCCAATTTAAATACTATTTTTTTAAATAATGTTAAATTTGATTTGAAAATCGGATTTTTTCTCACTCTTCTTAACATGCTTAAAGAATATGGTATGAATTAATCTTTGAAAATATCTCAAGTAACAACTTATTTTTGTTGTGATTATGTGTACTCAATCTATAGGCAAGACTCAATTACGTCAAACATTGGTACACGGAAAAAAATGGCTCAAAAAGCCATGGGCCAAATTCAAGAGGAGGACTGAAGGAATGGAAGTGGAGTTTTTGCAAAACAATGACAAAGGTCAAATCTCAATTTGGGATCTTGCAGGACAAGAGATTTTCCGTACCCTTCAAAGTGTGCTTTTCCCTCAAAGTAGTAATTTTTGTGTTTTTCTATTTGTGTATAGCTCCTTCTGTCAGAAAACATCTTTGAACAAACCAGAAGCTTGTTTTGAGAGAGAGTTGGAGGAATGGTTGAGTTTCATTGCATCCAGCACTAGGGTTATCGGACATAATCTTCCACAAGTTCTTGTTGTGATTTCACACAAGGATAAAGCTATAGACAATTCTTTGAGTTGGGCTAAGTTCATAGTGAACAAGCTCACTAAAAGATTTGCAAAATTTGTGGATCTCCACCCTATTCAAGAGTGTTTTCATGTGGATGCTCGAAAAAATAAGCAAGTTATTACTCTCAAAAATCACATTTTTGAGATCTTTGAGAAGTTGTTGAAGAAAAAATCTCCACTAGTTCCCCATTTGTGTTCTCAACTCTCGTCATTCTTGGTTAAAAACACCAAGGACAATAGAAGTTGCCCTCTCTGGTCATCCCAAAAATTTTGTAACTTCTGTGCTCCCCATTTGACACAATTTCTTCCATCCTCTTCTGCTCAAGCCTTTGATCATTCAAGTATACAAAAATCAATCACATCCTATTTGAATGATGTTGGAACCATCATTTCTATTCCCTACCTGGATCACATTATTGTAGATCCAAATTGGCTCACACATACATTATTGGGTGAGCTTGTAGCTCTGGGTCAACACTTTCAAGCTCAAGAGTCTCAATCTTTTGACAAAAGGATATCAAGTGACTCATACGCAAGCAAGGACGGATTTGTGAGTGAGAGAGACTTTGATCGGTTGATAGAGGAGTTTCTGAAAAAGCAACCACATGGAAAGAGATTACTGAATAGAGAGCTGCTTGAAAACATCCTTATTAATTTAGATTTGTGTTTCAAGGTAGAAGATACTTCTCAGTATTTCATTCCCTCCTTCATACCCGAGCATTCAAGCACTGAAGTACAGAAGTCTCAAGAATTGGCTCACGTGGAGTCGATGGCTTGGGATTCCAGGGTTGAGACTTCAAAGTTTTTCGGCATCCGGATACAATGCCAAGATAGAAGAACAATGTCACTGACCGCTGCTTTTTTCCCATGCTTCCAGGTGATTTCATATACACTGTGAGAAAATTGAATGCGTCTAGCTCTGATTGTAACTTGTGTGGATTGAATGGAATGTTTTTTTTCATTAATTGAACTCAATTTTTGGAATGCATGGCTCAATATTTACCAAATTTTGTATCATTGTAGATGTTCATGAGACGGAAGTTGATATCGGAGATGGGTGTTCCCAAGGAAACTATTACCTGCTCTCGACATTATCTGGGATTCTTTCTTGATGGGCACAAGATATATATTGAGCAAGGAACGTCCCGCAATTACGTGGATGTTCTGATGTTATGCTCGGATCATAAGTCAAGGGAGTTGGCTATTAAATATGTGATGAAGCATATTGTCCAGCAGTTGATATCATTTTGTGCATCAACCAAAGGTTGTCCCGGGGTGGCGTTAGTGCTCGCTGTTATCCAAACACGTTGCGTGGAGATGTTGATTCCGAGTCATCTCAGAGGAGCCATTCTGATCGAGAAGCTCAAATCAAACTTCATTCGTGACATCAAAGACAAACTTGAGGATATTCAGGCGGATAAGTACAACTTGATGAAGGAGGAAGAGTTGTTCAGCTATGAGCACATTTGGCCCTTGATTCAAGGGCATATAACACAGGTTACATTCGAAAGAGCGAGGGAGTTGCTGTGGGAGAGCGAGGTGGAAGCGGTTGTGAATGAGATCCGACAGAAGCAAATGCAACAATTGGAGTCATTTGAGGAAGACCTTAGTGAACAATTGGCGTCATTGTTCGAGGGTTTAAACGAAGTGAACAAAGATTTGATTCATTCTTACCTTGAAAATGAGAACTTGGTTACCAATGCAGATTTTCCTGATGTGAAAGACTCCAATCAACCTTCATCCAGTTGCTTAAGTCGGGTGAGCACAAGTGTGGAAAACCTTGATACCCGACTTGTTTTGGAAAAGATGGATCAGGTAGAAAAAAATCTAGCACAAAAGGTTGATGGTGTTGATGAGAGGTTGAGATCAATGCAGAGCATTTTGCAGAGATTGGAGATGAAGGTGGAACAGATACTCTCTCTGCAAAAAGAACTGCAGTCAACGCGGAGTGATTTCATGTCCAAAGTGGACAGGATTCTTGAGTATTCTCAAACGTTTCAACATTCCACTACGCCCAAGCGACCTTACATTACGAACAATGTTGGCATTTTCTATAGGATGAGTGCTACTTTGCATACCGGAACAACCGTCCGCTTACACTTGATGTGTGAGTCCGCAACTGGGTTTCATCCCGTCAAAGATCAAGAAGGTTTGAAGATACGCTTGGATTGGAAGGATTGTGGGTGGATTCAAAAAACTATCGAAATCTCATTCAAATTCATGTATTATGCTGTGAAGGCTGGACTGGATGTGACTTTCGGGTTGGGCCAAGCAATTCCGGAGTGGGAAGATTTGAAATCTGATATTGTTAAGTTAGATGGCATTAGCGATCGTGATCGTAGTGCAGTTTCAAAAGTTGGGGAAAGCAAGGAGCTGAGAGAAGCATGGTCGAGGATTCAGCAAACTCTTGCGCCACAGCTTCGAGATAGCTATTCGGCAACCTTCAAGTTGTATCAGGTGAAATACGTGAGACAAGAACTAGGTGGGCATGCATGGGTGTGCGAGGAATGCATGAATGAAGGTCTTAGAACAGGCATTTTGTTAGGAATTTGAAGACCTTAGAATGTCATGATGCAAATAACAAGCATATGTTCAGACACTCATGCAATGTGACGCTCTGCGTTGTGAGGCTCTTCCTTTCAGTTTTCACGTTCACACGTCTTTTCTATGCAATCATATCAATCGTGGAGTTATGTTTCTGAAGATGATCAGTATATGGCTGATATATGGCTGAATTATCATAATTGCATTTTGAGGACCATGTTTCAAGTGTGGCTTGTTGCAAGTCTCACCATGATGAAATTCCTTGACTTACATGTTGGGTGGTCAGCCTTAAATTTCGATACATCTCCCAGAATGATTATTATGTTATTGTTCTGAATAATGAGGGTCTAATAACTGTAGAACGGACAGGAAAAACATTTATGTTATTTTCTTGTTCAAGATGAGCTGGCGGTCCGCTTTCCTCACCTGGCCTTCGTTACACTCGTTGTGCACTCTTCGAGCGGCAGGCTCTTGACGAGACGAATAAGGCCGTGCAAACCACGTGGGTCAAAAAAATAAGCCTCTAATTGGAGAAACACGGTAGTGTTGCGTTGAAGATGGTGCGGAGTTTGTGAGAAAGAGTGTCAAGAAGTAATACTTCGAGTCACCCATTACCGCAGCTAGCTAGCTGCAGTCCCGAACTGGGTGGTCGAAACAATTCATGAAACAATAAAACCAATTTATTTGCTATGACTTCAACTGCTGTAAGTAGTAATTTGTATGGCAGCTTGATTGTCTGCTCTAAATTCTACAAGCAATGGATTTCATTCTGAAGAGATTGATGTCCAGGCTGCAGTGGTAAGTATCTATAGGTCTGCAGTGGTAAAAGTATATAAGTTATTACATGTGCTAAAGCTGAAATCAGTTACGTTAAAAGTCTTCCATAGTACACATTTCAAGACATACTGCTCCTTATCCTCGGAAAGTCCTTCGAATCGGCTTGCCTGGCATGGTGGTGCAGATTTGTGGAAACGGCAGCAGAACTTATTTCTGCTGCCAAGATTGATGATATGTTGAGATTTGAGCTGGTAAATAGTCTGTCATTTAAGGACCACGAATTCAGCATGCTTTTTATGTCTCCATGTTCATCCATTTCGGCTTGAGAATTCATCAAAAGCATTAGGTCCACCATGGACTCCCAGACGGTCAAAACACAAAAATGTGGTGAAGATTTGAGAAAGGTTTGTAGTTTCCACTATACCACTTGGAGGCTTTAAGTCCCAAGCATCTCGCCTATACTCAGTAAAAACGTGGAAATCTCTTCTCCAAGACTGCCCACTTCAGAACATTGCAGGAAGTGAACCATCACCACTTACTGCGACAGTTCATCATACTGATTTGTTTGTAGCCAAGGGCCTGGAGCTGAGAAATTGGATATTGAGAAATATACACGTCTGTCTAACGACAGGAACGAGTCCATTTTGCAATCCCGACAGTCACTACAAGTAAAAGTGGTATTGTTAAGGTGAAGCTTATGTCGTGAACTTCGTGCTAGCAATTGCACCGGGCAGCCAGCCGATTGGATCAGGGAAAAAAATGTGCAACAAAATCTACTGCCTCATGGATTTCTTCAAAAAAAGTGCATAAATTGTCATAGTGGATAGTGCGCTCCAATGAAATATGATCGGATGACTAGCTGACTGCCCAACGTCCATTTTGCCTTTCATTTTCAGGCAAGGGTAAATCTAGAGGAAAGTTCAAACAAAAGCACCGGAAATGACAAGGAGGAACAAATCCACTGTTTTGGTGACTTGGCCTTATGGATTATTTGGCTATTACAGACACAGTTCGCGGAACGAACTCACCCCGGACAATGGTACGCAACCCTCTGTAATATGGGCTTTGGTAAAATTCGAAACTGTGGCGATGATCTTCACGTGTTTCATAAAGTTGGGTTTGGAGAACGCCGAGGTCCTCCGAGTTGTGCAGGTGGTGCACCATCAAATCAGTTGCAGTACCAGCCAACTCACTTGATTCAGAAACATTCAATACGTCTACCGTGTAGTAACTTTGGATCTTCGGGAAATTGAGTTGAGAGAAGCGAAATTCATCTGAGGACGTGAATTTTGAAGTTTCATGGAACTCCTGTAGAGGAGCTGTCTGGCTCAACTCCAGAACTGCATCAATGATCAGATTGGATGTATGGCAAAAAGTGAACTGGGTCCATTCCTTTGCAACCATATCCTGACCCCATACAGTACTAAACATGTGCTTTCGAACATTCCCTCAATGAGATGCTTTAAGAATCTGGAACTTGATTTTGACCTTACGATTTCGAATTTTCCAATTCACGCTGGAGGTATTCACTTCCAGATCTGAATCCCTGAAACGATCAGATAACTGCGCTATCGACATCCAATCTTGTTATTGAGAAAATCACAAACATTTAAATATTTCAGTTGCTCTCACACATATATATTTGTGAGCATACGATGACGAGGAGAATAATCAGCATAAAATATATTCATGAACTATGTCATAAGAAATTACGTTATAAATGGACATCTGAATTTACGATCATTCCTTATCAGAAACATTTCTCATTTTTATTGCCCTTCACATTATCAATAAGTATTTATCGAGAGGACTTGGATACCGACTTGAGAAGACAGATGTCATTTTCAGATTTGTATTTTACAGGGTCAACGTCCAAGCAGAAATTTTCTAGTTTCGGATACTGGTGGGTGAAACGGGCGGAATAGATCAGAAATTTTGTCAACCAATCGGACAGGAAACCAGTAAGACTGTACTCAAAACCAAGTGATAGTGAAATTTTCTGTGAAAGAGAAAATTATGATCATTTATACAAGACAATTGTTGTTATCTTATTGCTTCGTCTTTACAATCTAGCTCTTGTACTTACAGCAGGATGCAGTCAGATTTAAAACTTGCATTATTATAAAGAATACAGCTCAGATTAATATCAAACCAGTGAACGAAAGTTTGAACCAGAAGTCGAAATTACAGGTTTGAGCTGAAATACACGGTTCGAGTAAGATCCCATTGTTATGTCACAGTTCTGAAAAATCAAATAGCAGGCCAAAATATGACTTCTGAATTTTAATGAAGCTGGTCCGTGAATTATACATGAAAAGTAACACGAGCCCGAAAGTTGATTTCAAGTTAGGTGCAATAACTAAAATCTGACGTGTATATTTAGGAAGAACCTCTGAGAAGCGTTTTTTGATGTGCATTTGAGGTACTTAGAGGCCAGTTTTCTCTTAGAATGTCCCTAACTCTCTCGACTAAGCTTATGCTTATTCATGCGAAAAGCGAAGAATCAAACCAATAGCTTAGCTTCCTAGCTTCCATTAGTTCATTTGTAATTCTGTATGCTTGGAATATGGACTGTTACAGCATTCGTCTTGAACTTGCCTTCTAAAAAATTATATCATTCTCTTCATCCTGTACAAGTAACAGTCAGTAGCCTTCCAGCTTAAAAGACAAAAAACCCTTGACGATACATGCAGAATCGTTACACAAAACCTGGACTATTATATAATTCTATACGCAAAAGAGCCCATCTTAATTCATGCTCTTCAACAGGTCTCATACTATGTCACTGAACGTTGATATATGCACGTTTTAATCGCTAACAGAAATTCCAACTTTACTGACGGTCCTCCATATATCCCTGTTAATGACTAAACAATTTGTCACTGATCCAAAAAGACTGGGAGGAAATAACAGAATGATCTGACTCCACATATAATCGTCAGTTCCGAAGACACAATTTGGTGTCAAATCTGATCTGATTCAAACTGTAATTGCAGCTTGACCACCACCTTCCACTTTCCACTATGATTCTCGAGTAATCAATCACCTCGAGACTTATGAGTTCAGAAATCGTGATTGAGGTTCATGTCTCCCACTTTGTACAGTTCACTGTTGAAGACTTGTGGACTCTTGTTCGGTTCAGATGCATTTGATCTCAAAACGAAAAGTATTTCACCTAGCCAGGTGTTGTGGAATATAAAACTGACTCCTGCAAGAGTATAGTATGGTATGGGGAGTTACACAAGATCAAAACCTTGGTGTGAATATGAATGTCATACTCATGGATCCCTGATTATCGGTTGTCTAAATTAGAGATATGCTCCATGTCTACTCAAATCATCTACTCAGATGACATGACATGACATACTTTCAATATATATAAAAATTTCATGAAGAAAAAAATCATTTTTTCAACTTTCTGCATGTTGTGTGAATTTTTTCATTCTTTTTCAGATCTCAGATCACGGCATTGCGGTGGATGTCGAGAAGGTAAAGATTATTCTCGAACTTCAGCCGCCGACGAACCTGCGCGAGTTGAGAGCCTTTCTTGGCCATGTGGGCTATTACAGAAGGTTCATAAATATGTACGCAATCTTGGCAGCCGATCTGACAAAGCTGCTTAAGAAGGAGGAGCCCTATGTGTGGGGCAAGGAGCAACAGCTAGCCTTTGAAACACTCAAAGCTAAGCTGACGACCGCTCCGGTTCTGAGAAGCCCGGATTGGAACCGACTCTTCGATGTCTATGTAGACACGTCGGCATTTGCAATTGGAGTAGTTCTCAGTCAGAAGTATGACAACAAGAAGGACTACCCGATTTACTTCGCGAGCCGTCAGTTGTCAATAGCAGAGAAGAAGTACACAACAACTGAGAGGGAGGCGTTGGGAATGGTATACTCCTGTAAGAAGTTCAGGCATTATTTGATCTGCTATGAGTTTGTGTTTAATGTGGATCACTACGCATTACAGCACCTAGTGAAGAAGGCGGATCTGTCCGGACGTATTGCCAGGTGGGTACTACTGCTGCAGGAATTCACCTACACTGTGCAGACTAGGAAGGGCGCTCACCACGAGAACGCTGACTACCTCTCCAGACTATGGACCAAACCCATAGAGGAAGAAGTAGTGGATGATTTCCCCGACGAACAACTTTTTCAGTTGTCCGCCAGCCATGAGTCTAGGTATGCGGACCTGTATAGGTTTCTGCTCACACCCCAATGTCTGGAAGGATTGGATGTTGAGCAGCGAACAGTCTTCGTGCATAAAGCTGGACCTTACCAGCTCCAACAGGGAGGCTTATTCAAGAAGATGGCAGATGAGA